CACGCGCGGGAGATGGGGCGCGTAAAGCCGTTTCCTCGCAACGTTCTTCTTCCACCCGCCTATTTCCCGCGAGCTGGAAAAAAAAAAAAATAATGAGGAGACGTGGCGACACAGCTATTTCGAGCAGCTCCGAGAGAAGAGACGTGGTACGAAACATCTCCCCCTGTACACCACCCCTCACGTGCGCGCCATCACGTTTACGCTAAAACGAAGACGTGCAGCACGGCGCTGGAGAAAACGCCGGGTAGTTTTTTTTTAAGCTGGAGGTCACGAAGAGAAGCGTGCTCTCCTCTTGGGGTGAAAAAACAAACAAATATTATTTATTTCTAGATGTAATCACGCGGGAAGTCTTCAGTTTCGCGTGTTTGCGAATTGACCTGTTCCCTTTATGTTATGGCCTTTTATTAAACAAAACAGTCTAGAGCTTTGTCTCGCATAATTTGTTTTGGCGTTGTTTGAATATTTCTAACTGCGAGACCACCTACCTTGCAAGGTAGACCTTGCGTGTTAATAAACCCTTTCCGAAATTCAGTCTGACCACTTTGATATTCATCGTCACCTATGTGTATCACCTGTATACACGCGAATGACGGCCTTTCGGTGGATGCCGAAGAGGGAATTTGAAAACGGGCACCTCATGCTCATCGGTGCTCGTGGAGTAGGCACGAGTGATTGCAAATTTATCTTCGCGCGTTATGTAAGAGCTCTTTCATAACAGTATATTGATACTGGGAGAAAAAAAAAATGAAAGCCGTTTACAACTCCCTGTAACACCGAATTGGAGCGCAGCCCTTGAGGAGGAGGAGGGAAGGGTACTGAGGGTCACGTGTTCTCGGGGCGGGGGGGGGGGGGGGGGGGGGGGGGGGGTCGCGTTTAGCGGGGAATTTTTTCCGCTATATCTAGCGGGGAAATTTTTCCGCTAGATTTAGCGCGGAATTTTTTCCGCTAGATTTAGCGGGGAATTTTTTCCGCTAGATTTAGGGGGGAAATTTTTCCGCTAGATTTAGCGGGGAAATTTTTCCGCTAGATTTAGCGGGGAAATTTTACCGCTAGATTTAGCGGGGAATTTTTCCCGCTAGATTTAGCGGGAAAATCCGCTACATTTAGCGGGAAATGTTTTCCGCTAGATTTAGCGGAGAAATTTTTCCACTAGATTTAGCGGGGAATATTTTTCGCTATATTTAGTGGGGAAGCTTTTCCGCTAGATTTAGCGGAGAAATTTTTCCGCTAGATTTAGCGGGGAAATTTACCCACAATGCACCGCGCGGTTACGCCGACGCCGACGCCGCTCAAGCCGGAAACGGGCCCCTAAGAGCTGCGCTCTAAAACGGGAGTAAATCGGCCACGGCTCGTTCGGGCTAAGAGTGTCGCGGGGTGTATCTATGTACTAGGTGCATGGTGTGGCGGCACTTGAGCGACCGGGTCGTCTTTTTTCGCCAAGTCGTCGCTCGGCTTCTTTGGCATGTTCGTGAGGCAATTTTGTAAAGAGGCGTACAGGTAGCGTGCGGGGAGGTAGGCATATGTGGCGAAGCCTCAGTTTCTTTTGACTTGCAGATGAGACGGGCCCGAGCTGTTTTGAATGACTCGCAGACGAGATACGGGAGGTGTCCCTGTCGACGTTGTCGTGAAACTTTCAGCGTGTTCGACGGGTACGCAGAGAATAGACGAGCGCGGAAAGGAACAAAGAGCGTCTTTCTCGTTCTAGTCGCGACGTCTTTAGCGGCGCTTTTGCATCATCGATCGCTGGCGGAGGCGTGTTGGAGGAGTTTGTCCCTTTAATTTTTGTTTTATTTTTGCCGGTTCTGGAACCGCCGGTGAGTGCGTCCTCAAACGTCTACGATCTCTAGGCAGGACAACTGAAGTTTCTCCTCGCCGTTCTGACGTGAAACTCGTTAGATCGCGAATTGTGAGTTCGGTCGTACACTCTTGTTTGCTATCGCGCACGAATGAAACGTGATTTGATTTGATTTGATTACTTCTTTTGCGATTTTCTTTGCCGCTCTCAGGTGCCGCAGTTGCACGGTAGGGCACAATAAATTTTTGTCTGATAAGCGCCGGGACAGAGATCGGAAGCGCGGATTAAAAATGACGGTAGAAATGGCGGCTAGAGTACCTTGTGGTTGTTCTCTTTGGTTGCTAACATTGGTAAAACATCGAGGTACCCTAATGGCGGTTAGCGGCGCGTGTAGCGTGGCTCCATCTGGTGGACTTTCCCTGCGATTCCCAGCCCCGTGAAACAATGGCGCTAAAAGCGCTAACGTGACCCCGTGAGTCAGCTGGTTTGTTACAACTTTTTTTTTCTTTCTTTTTTTAAAGGAAACAATGGAGGCGTCTTGTGAGAAGCAGTCAGTCTGTCCGTTTTCCGGGAAGGATAAAAACAACAAGAAAAGAGAGGGTGCTTTTGTTTATTTTCACTCTCTCCGTTGAGACTGGCTAAATAAAGTTCGGGCAAAAACACACACGAAACAAAAGGTTGCGGCGCGTTGTTTCGTTCTGCTGATGATTGTGTGACTTTGGGAAGTAGGTTACTGTTGCCTGCACTGTGTGTTTTTACTTTGTTTTAGATACTGTTTTTTTTTTTTTATATATATATACCCCCTTTTATTTCTATGTCTTGGTTAGGCGAGAATAGCTCTGACATGGTGATGTTTTTTTATGCAAATTCAGGGTTACAGTCACTTGCAAGGATAAAAAGGGTTGATTCCTGGGCTCGTTAAAATGTGCGAGTGTGTAAATAACCCGGAAGTTGGGGTGTGATATTTACAGTGACGATTGATGGTACTGAGTGAGAAGGCAGGAAAACTGTTGCATAGCGTAGAAAATTCTGAAGCCCAAAAAACGAAAGTTTGTTGAAATTTCAGAGTCCACTCACAGGATTGCTGAAGAAAATGCTTTTGACTTTGATTTGTGGAGGATCAAAAGGCCACATTTTTCGTATAGATGTCACCGAGGGAATTATAAATAGAACGTTGCACAGCCAGCGGGCAAATAGAGCAGCTTGTGTGACTGCTGTAAAGGGGCATTTTGGCGATTTGCAGTGTGGCTGTTATAATCCATTTTGCTTAGTGCAAAGTTGAGACAACGGAGCTTTTTTGCATTGTACTGCATTTTTTTTATGCTCCAAATGAGTACTTCCCACCTCACTAATAGTTCTCACAACAACCTTTCAATTGTAAGAAGAAGAAAAAAAGACAGCAGTTGCTTATTTGCAATAACAGTGTCGTGCAGGCTACCACAGCCTAGGTTAGGGGTTCTGAGCTCATAGCTTTGTCAGTTACTTTTAGGGTGACCACCTTCCTGCTAGCAGAATGTGGGACATGCTGACAAGAGGGGTAAAAGAGTAAGAGAAAACGGTATTACTGTCTAAATTCGTTATAACAGACCTTGATAGTGATCAAGATTTTAGACTGTTGCAAAAAGAGGCTGCTGTACGCAGATACGAAGTTGAACCAATGGTACAGCCGGGAAAATTAATCGAACATCAGAAAGCAGCATTTTATATCCAAATGTTTGTTGTAACGAGTTTATACTGTAACAAAACTGCGACAAATGAAAAAAAAAAAAAAAACTATTAGAGAAAATTTATTAACGCACACACCACAAAATTTGGTTACATACATTATGTCCTGTTCTCTCTGAAAGCATACTATATATTTGCAAATTGTATTGCAGCAATTAAGCTCAAACAATCTTCACTCCCGGTGATATAACTGGCTTGTTAATTTTAATTCCAAATATGTTAATAAATGTGTCGAGTAAGTTGAAAACTTAAAACATAAATCTCGATTGCTGCAAAGCCTGGCATCAAAAGGAAATAAGCCACAGTAAATTTTTCTTGGCTTTGTTTCCTGTCGATGTTTATTTTTACTAATCTGCTCCTACGGAAATATTTTACTTTGTTTTTTTCTACCGTTGTGAGTGGCAGGCTTTTTGCCTCGTGTGGTTGTTTTCACTAAAGAAAAGAAATAAAAACTTTCCACTGCAAACCATTTTTTATTGACACAGCATGATTTGAAAATAATTTCAATAACTTATATTTCAACTTTTGGCAAGCATTTTTTTTCTTGCAATATTTGGCCACCAAGGAGATAGGCACAACATCGCATGCGCGTCGGTTCTCCTGCAAGAACGACGGTCGCTTCCCGCGCAATGCTTGGACAGAAAATGGCGTACCATCGCGATTCATACGATTACCAGCGTCCTCTGCACTTCCCCGTGCCCCATCGTTCAGCAGCACCATAAGTTGCATGGTGAATTTTACAACAGTGTGAAATGCGGGACAGTTAGAAGATTTTGGTATTTCACGCGGGACACGAGCCCTCAATGCGGGACGGTCCCGCGAGTCACGGCATGGATGGTCACCCTAGTTACTTCCCATGCATAAAACTTTCTTTACAACTGAGGCGGGTCCCTGATCAAGGTGCTCGTGCTCTAGCCTTTGCAGTGGAACATTTAAAGGTAATTGTATCATAATCTGGGGTCTTTAACATGCTTCATGCAGAAGTAGCTACAGAAATACATGCAGGCTTGGTGCCAAGAGTGACAATGTTTGATAATAACTGACAAGAGAAAACTACAGGATGCTCAAAGAAATAAAACAAATTTATTTTGCCTTGGGTGGTTGCGACTAGCATTGCATACAGAAAAAGATCGGAACACCAATAAAAGCTTGTTTCACTTCTTGTTTTCTTTTTTGGAGGAAGGATATGGTTGGGTTGTTGCCAAGAGTACTGATCCGATAACATATTCTGGCATGGGGAAGTCCGTACAATCGTAAACGCCGTAGAAGCTGGTGTAGGAAAAGCCTAATGTTGGCAGCTGCACAGATGCTTTCAGGATGATGCTTCTTTTAAACTGGCATGTTACGAAATTCTTCGAACTTAGATGCAGCTATTTGGGCCTCGCAGGCATTGTTGGTATCGCTTGTATAGTGTATGTGTATCCATAGTCGCTAGCATACAAAATCACCTAACCTTTCTCCTTCTCCTCTTGGTTTCCAGGCAAAAAGGCTATCCACCGGTGAGATGGCGGCCATCAAGGTCATTAAGCTCGAGCCCGGTGAGTTCTCTTCTGGCCTTTTGTTCAGGTTCATCACCTGCAGAGTTGCAATATCATGCTAGTGAATTGGTGAATGTTGCTCATTCACCAATTCACCAGCCGTCTGACTTCGTAAGCGTGTTTTTCAGGGCCGCGCATTGAAACTTCTAGCACCTGGTGATTCTTTGAGAAAAGGGGACCTGGGGGCAAAAGTTTCGGGCTTATATCCATGTTCGGACTTTTCTTAGTTCTCTGTAACATGTGCAAGCGGGCGGTGATCTAGCCTTTTCCATGACGCAGTCACTGCATCGATCTGTCATGTGCCTTGGTCGTCATCTTTTTATTCCCCATCACTGCAGCTTTTTTTTTTTTTTTTTTTGTGTGTGATTGGAGTTGTAATGAATTGGTGTTCTGACCTTAATTTTATGTTCATTTGTTGTTTTTCCTTTGTGCAGTTTTTTGTGATTGGAGTGGGTATGGGTTGGATTATAAAAAAAAACAGGACTGTGCTTCTTTCTTGGTGCCACCAATGTGGTAACACATCGCAACTTCTATTTTATATATAAAAGCATCTAGGGTACTGTTTTCTCAAAGTCTAAAGGCTTGAGATTCCATGAATTCTGCTGCCTTGGCATCAGTTTGTGGTAACTTGAACAGTATCACCCGTATTCACCTGGCACTGGTAGCGCCTATTTAACCACTGTCTAGCGACGTCATTGACTAAAATGATCCTGTGGCAAGCGATAGTCGCCGCTAAGTGAGAGCTTGGTATTCACCGGTCGTGTTTAGGGCCTAGTCGCCCTGTGCGACTGAGAAGTCGACTAACAAATCTTATTCATGGGGTGGCGCTAGTTTAGCCGGTGTTTAGCGGGTGACCAGCGGCTCAGCGCCATGGCCGACTCGTATCACCACTGGCCGCCAGCGCTAACGAAGCACTTACTGTCTCGGAACGCTGGGGGAGACATCCAGAAAGAATTGGAGGAGCAAATATTGTGTAAATAGCCATCATAAATAGCCAGCTAAAAAGATCTCAACAAGGTGCTGGACGACGAGAAAAAGCGAATTTACGGGCGCTTCCATATTTGTTTATGTCGCTGGCAATGCAGCTGCCGTGTTCCTCCCTTGTGTTTCGTTTACTTTTTCTTTGTAAACCTCTCTCTCTGACAATTACTCTCATTGTAACTTTTTTTTCCTGATAAACATTTAAATATTACTTTTGGTAGGATAAAATACCCATTTATGCAGCGGCGTTTAAGTATGCGTAATTGTGACCTATCTTTTTATGTCACTTCCGCTTGTCAGTTCTGACTAGATAGTCACCCGCTCACTTCGCACTCATGAATACCGCAGAACTAGTCGATCCTTAGTCGCTGATTTTTTTTTTCTTAGTTCGAGACTACTAGACGCAATACTAACTTCAAAACAGTGCTAGTTAGTCACTACTGGGGAATACGGCTGTATAATTTTGTGTGACTATGCTACCCTATATTTGGTTGTTTCACCCACATACCTTTCTGGCTCTACATTCAGTGACAAGCATAATTAGTCTGTGAATGTGATTATAAGAAGGCCACAAAGGATGTGTAAGTTCCTGCTATTTTTATTGCTGTGAGAATATACACTGCACTCCACAGGTAGCAGAAACATGACACTTGACACTTTGTTGAAGTTCACTTGTTCAGGTTTGTTTTGGACACCAAACTTTGACAGTCTACTGGGTGCTGTACATGCTACTCGGGCATGTTTCGTTGTGCTGGTGGTAGCATCACTTTCAGTACCTTCCCGTTTTTTCCCCATGGACTTGAGCTCTTGGGCGAGGAATATATTGGCTGGTGGGTTTTAAATGAATGTGTTATTCAGGATCTGGCAAAAAGAAAACACAATGCAGGGAAGTTTTGTTTATGTTGTGTTGTTTTTCTCTCTTTTATGAAGTGATTCATGTGCATTGTGAACCATTGAGCAGCCTCAAGACCGTCCAAACCAGCAGGAAGCATATTCTCTTCATTGACTTAAAACGAAAGAAACACACAAGAGTTTTAAGTCAATGTAGATCACCAACACGCTCAAGTCTTTAATTATCATGTTCTGTTCTGTGTAGTTTTAGAGCGCACCTCTTAGGCGCCCGTTTCTGTGTTTCGCGGCGTCGGCATAACCACGTTAAATTCAGCGGGAAAAGTGATGTCACGTGACCTCAACCCCAATTCAATTCCCCGCCAAATTTAGCGGGAAATTCAGTTTCTCCGTTAGATTTATATTACAAATTAAGTTTCTCCGCTAGATTTAGCGGGAAAATTGATGTCACGTGACCTCAACACTTATTAATTATTCACCAAATTTAGTAGCGAATTGAATTGGTGTTGATGTCACGTGACGTCAATTTTTCCGCTAGATCTAGCGGAGAAACTGAGTTTGTTCGTAGGTGACGTTGCACCAAGTCAAGTGACCTCATTTTTCCCGCTAAATTTAGCGGGCAAGCTGAATTGGTGTTGAGGTCACGTGGCGTCAGTTTTTCAGCTAAATTTAGCGGGGAAACTGTAGGAGCAGGGTACGGAGGAGGAAGATAAGAGGGTACATAAGAGGGGGAGTGTACGGAGGAGGAGGGAATGAGGAGTAGGAGGGGAGAAAGCGGAGAAGCATACCTTCCCCTCCGAACTTTCCCCTCCTCCTTCTCAAAAGCTGCACTCTAATTTCGTGTGTCAGAGACTTGTAATTGTCTCATTTTTTTGGTCCCTTTATAAAGGGAAGAAGAGGACAAAGGCATTACCTACTTGTTTTCTTCTTGTGGACAGATTTGAAAGCTGTATTTGAGTTGTTTACTCTTTGCAATGTTAATCTCTTGTAGGTTGGCGCTACGGAACATGTGAGTTTGTCCGCAGCCTGTGTTTTTCCTTTCAACCTGTTTAGAGCCTAATCCAAGAACAAAAGACAGTATGAAACATACAATGACAAGAGAGATGTCTTCTCTTCTCGTTGTGTGCATCATGCTGGTTCTTTGCATTTCTTCGTAACATGTCATACTAGCCAATGCAAGCTCATACCTTCCGGCCTAATCGCAAAGTTTTTGAGTTTGACCTAACTGCATACCTGCATGTATTTTTTCAGGTCTAGAAGTTTGGTAGTTTCCAAGCTGTGTGCTGGTTTTAACGCTAACTTTTGGATTGTTTTGTTTGAACTTACATGCGACACTAGTCTTGTGGTATCGTCCCACCAGCTTGTACCTCATATGGCTCACTTATGAACCAATGCTGTGAAAAGTCTAGTATTGAAAGCTTGGGCTCGTGACTCTTGCCTGATTTGGGAAGGTGGAGGCATAGGAATTCTTAGGCGATGTGTGCTTGAGCATCCCTGAACTCCGGCCCTGGGATACTGGAGTAGTTTGAAGAGCCTTAACTTTAAAGTACTGTAAATAGTTACAATGCCACTAACAGTTATTTCCCAAGTTCCAGAAATTGCAGGGCACCTCGGCCTTATGATATATTTTAAGAGTTGTTTTGCCATGTAGCTTAGTCACCTTTTTGAGTAATTGGAAGCTAGTACTTCCATAATAGCATGACTGTATTCATAGACTTTTCAACTCAAGTGGAACTGTAGTTTGATTACTTTTTATGAGTAGCCTTGATATCTTTGTAACTGTGACTGCAGCATAATTACTTTCTGATTGTATCTTCAACAGCTAGCTCTGGTAGCTTGTCTCTCTGTCCGCTTCCCTTTTTATTCACACTTCAGACCCCAAAATTCATCGCAGAGGCGCGGATGGCATAGAAAGAGCTTTCGGGCTGTCTCTCGAGCAGTAGAGACGAATTCTGGAACCGTGCATTGATACGATTCGTCAATGGAAACCTTTGGGTTCCCGAGCCTGCAATGAAGGAGGGCGTGGTGCGCACGTCGTCTTCCCAGGGGACGAGTTTGGGGTCATCCAGCAGGAGATCCTGATGATGAAGGACTGCCGGCACCCCAACATTGTGGCCTACTTCGGCAGCTACCTCAGGAGAGACAAGCTCTGGATCTGCATGGAATACTGTGGCGGAGGCTCTCTCCAAGACATCTACCACAGTGAGTGGTGCCGATCCCGCCCGGAGTAGACCTATTGGAAGGACACCACACAGGCAAATTTTGGCTGAAAAAATTAGCGACATTTTTGGACCGTCTGGACCCGGCGCATAGCCTGCACTTCGTGCCTATAGTTGGTTACAAGTCAAGAAGGTAGGAGAAGCTCCTCCCACAAGTGTGATGCGCCCGTTTCAAATCTCTCCGCAGTCGAAAGAAGAGTTCACTGGAAACGCTCCTTGTTCCGCTTCAATAGATTCCACCTTGTCTCCGATCCCAGTTTTTAAGAAAGCGACCTTTGTATTCATTGTAGAGGAAACCGAGCCCCTGAAAGCAGCCTTTGTATCCATCGGGGGGGAAGCTAATCCCCGAAAGTCGCATTTGTTTCCGTCGGTGGGGCAGAACTCTAATCTCTCTCTCGTGGCTTCCACAGTGCTGAGTCAGATTCGAAAAATAAAGCAAATATGTACAGAAAGGCAAGACCCTCCTCGCGCGTTGGCCGTAACGTCACGGAAATGGTGGGACGCTATTGGATGCGGAGGTGGCGGAGGGATATGTGATTCCCTTTGAGGGGCATTTGCCGCTACCTTCTTGACCTGTAACTGACTTAAGTCTGCGTCTCAAAAGAATTTCATGCACTGCACAGATTGTGTAACAAATCTCGATTCTCCGCTGACACCTTTGCTTGTGCGCTGTATCATTATCGGAGATATCAGAAAAATCTGCCATGCTTTCCGGTGTATAAGGCAAGTTTTTGAGGGCTTTTTCCCACAATTGTTATAGAAGGAATGGCAGAGTACCTCCAATGACCTGCTCTTTCAGCGGTCCAAAGACGGTCCGAAGCTTGGCGGCAGGTTTGTCTCTCAAAGCCCGTCCAAAGCAAAATCAAATCAAACGAAATACTTTATTTTGCATTCGCATGTACAGATGCCAGAACCTTGGACAAGAAAAGCCAATCCTTGTTAATTTGACAAGGTTGTGGCCCCGAGCACTTGGCAGATGGTGACGGAGAAGCTGAAAACAATCAAAGTATTAGTAACATATATGTGGAAGATACATTGGCTAAATGGTTTACTGTATGAAAGAATGCATAATATACAAAAAGTAGGTAGAATCTAAACTATTACTGTCAATGCTACAAAGATGTGCAACCTATACCGTAAAATCCTGCAGGGTGCCCTTCTGAAATGAAGAGATAAATAGTGAAAAACATGAGGCGCGTCTATCTTTGAGGATAAGACATCAAAACATTATAAAAAATTAATGATAAATGCAAGGCGCACCCGCTACAAGCCATGTGACGTGGGAACCAATACTGCAGACTGCAGATACTACGAACTCCTGTGTCACGGGAAAGGATCCCGCAGACTGCGGATGAAGCAGATTCGTGTTTTGCAGTGCAGTAGACACGCAGAAACAGGCTAAACTTGCGTGCCGCAGGAAGTACTATCGCACGCGCGGATTGCGGACGAGAAACACGGGAACTTGCTACGAACTCGCATGTCGCTGGAACTGATATCGCATGCGCACATCGCAAACATGAATGCAGAAACCCGCCACGAACCTGCTTTTCATGTTCGGTACCACAGATCATGCGGTTGAGGTGATTTCTGTCAGACACTGCGTGATGTCTGACAGGGATCGGGATGGGCAACGTTTCAGAATGTTTTTGTTACGGGTATTTAGCCAGAAAAAGCGTGATGGACGATCTCTCGGGGGAGGACACCCTTACGGGATTTTGTGGTATACGAGCTTCTTTGTGTTTTAGGGGTGGGTAAGAAGTGCGACTTATAGACCAGAAAATAGTGTACTAAGGCTCTAATCCCTGGTCTGGCAGTCACTGGCCCTCTGGGGGAGCAGCAGATTGCCTACATGTGCCGGGAAACGCTCAAGGGCCTGGCCTACCTGCACTACATGGGCAAGATGCACAGGGACGTCAAGGGGGCCAACATCCTGCTCACAGAGGACGGCGACGTCAAGCTCGGTGAGTCTCTCTTGCAAGCAGCAAAACATATGGCACTCGCGTCGAAACCACAAGGTCTTTCCAAAGGCTATTCGGGCATTAAAAAAAATTGTATAAATAAACTACTTAAACTTTTCACAGAGGTTTCTTTAGGTGGCACATAAAAACATATCATGGCATTGATCCAAAAGTTTAACAACAGTTTTATGGACTTAGTAAAAAAAATTTAGGTCGGGCAGCTCAACCATTAAGCGTCGCAAGCTGCAGGTAGCGAAATGTGCCTGCCCTCTCCCTAACCAACCTTAATCTTGTTTCCTCCAGCGGACTTTGGAGTTTCTGCCCAGATTACGGCCACCATCAGCAAAAGAAAATCATTCATTGGGACTCCTTATTGGTAAGTCCTTACGTCCTTCGCAGATTGGTGCTAGTGCTGCGTCTCCACACTCCCTTCCCTTGCTTGTTTTTTATCTGTCCGTGGCTTGACACAACCTTCAAAAGAGATGGCTATGCTAGCTGCTGTCTTAACCATTGCATTCTGTTGTCCTTTTTTTTTTGTTGTTGTTATCTTTCACTTTTTTTATTTTATTTCTATGAACGGTCTTATTCTTTTGCTGAATGTGTTGCATGCTAAAGACCAAACCCCGGCACCTTATTGTTCACACTGACGAGGTACCAAGGGAAGTAAGTCAGCGCTTGCAGTCCAGTTCAGCGGTCTCTACACTCGACATAAACACGTTTCACCATGAACCATCGTTAAAAACAAACCGATTCGCCTCCAGACTGGGATTGCTTGTACCGCTTGGGCATCCCTCCCTCCCTCTGCCACGGAGCCGACGTTGCAGTGCGGTGCTGCGTCGCAAAAGCTCGACGTTTTTGTTGCGGGGCGCCGGGAAGAAGTCTCCGGGATTCCTTTCTCGACGTGCATGTGTGTGGCCCACGCGCTTGCTCAGGATGGCCCCGGAGGTTGCGGCGGTGGAGCGCAAGGGTGGCTACAACCAGCAGTGCGACATCTGGGCAGTGGGCATCACGGCCATCGAGCTGGCCGAACTGCAGCCGCCCATGTTCGACCTGCACCCCATGCGGGCCCTCTTCCTTATGTCCAAGTCGGGCTTCAAACCCCCGCAGCTCAAGGACAAGGTCAAGTGGTGAGTCTAATGATGCCTGGGAGATCTCCAATAGTAAAGACCCATTCACACACTTGTGTTTGCTTGCAACCTAGTTCTGGAGTTCTTGCAATCTCTTATGATCCTCGAGACCAAGTAGGGCTTTAAGGCTCCGCAGCTGAAGCACAAGGTCAAGTTGTGAATGCTGGCAGGTGTACGTGCGAGAAACAAGCGTGTCATGGCAGTGGTTATGGAGCTTGGCGTTACAGCTCACTGTGTAGTTTAAGGCTTACTTGGGAAGGCAACTGGTTGCTTACCGCTTCAGTGTAGATAATCTTGAAAAGCATTTATTTTTTGTAGAAATGTTTTGACGAATCTAGCTGTCTTTCTATGAATGCTACCAGTTGTGTGAATGTGTCTTCTTCCAGAAATGTTCTGTGTGTTCAAGTACATTGCATTTGTCTTATGATCCGAAACGTAGACCTATCTGGCAAATAACTCGAGCCTCGCGACTGGTCATCCTTAGGAAAAAATTGTGAGTGCTGGATGAGCTCATGGACCGTGGTCTACATCTAAAACAAGTTGTTTCTGATGTAGAAAAGTTCCTCGACCAGGACAGCGTGGCTGCATCAAGGGCATGTGTAAGACTTGCCTGTTCTTGTCAAACTTACGAAAAATTTACTAGTTGTGAACTTCTCAACGACAACTTCGCGAGTTGCGTTTGAGATAGATGATCGACTCATCCGCATCAGGGATAGATCAGTTCGACTCACCCTTGTCAAATGAGTTGTCAAGTCGTCAAGAATAACTTGACTAGCTGTCCTTATTAAATTGTCCTCGGCGAGGGCAACTCGTCTGCAAGTCAATCGCGAGGTTTCCGAGAACCCAGCCGTACGAGTCAACCCCGTTTCTTGTCTCTGTGCAGGACTCCCAACTTTCATCATTTTGTCAAGATTGCCCTCACCAAGAACCCCAAGAAGAGGCCGACGGCCGAGAGATTACTTATGGTGAGCGGTCGGTGCCCGGGCGCGTGTCTGTACTCCATTCACCCCTAAGCCGACAGTGTGGTAGAAGCTACGCACTCGTTGGACCAATCACCCGCTTCCCTTTCGTCACCTGACCCCAATCTCTGTGTCTGGATACAGGCGAGAGTGTGGGCACGTAGCTGCCACCGTTTCTTCAGCTTCGGCATTGTGCCGGGAACACGTCTTCCACCGACGTGTTCAGCGTCCCATCCGTCCCACGCATCAAAAGTGGTCCCCAAGCGGTGCAGGCGAGCTGCCAGAAACAAGCGTGCTTTGTGTCTGAACTAGCTGAAACTAAGTAAAGTACGGGAAGGATCCAAACATGGCTGAGAAAGGAACACAATGACAGAAGGCAACGTCTCAAACTCTGCTCTGCCACGTCCGACTCAGCTCTGTCTAAACTCTGTCATTCTGTTTCTTTCTTTTTCACTTCGAATTCTTCTCATTCTCCACCCTGTTCTCGGGTTTTCGGAGAAAACGGTGAAACAGATGAGATCACAAAAGCCGGAGCATCGTGTTGTCAGATGTCCAATCGTGGTGGTTTGGGGTTAGAAAGTATGAATGAAATCGAGCGTCGCCGTCGTTGCGGGGTCCCAAATTCCGGCCGCCGAAGCTCCTGCGGACTACTAAGTTGGAGAGCAACCCGCAGCAGGACGGGCGTCCGCCAGAGTCACCGAACGTTCCTGGAGTACCGAAGCTTCCAAGCATCATGCTCCAACCCTTCTTCAAAATGGCGCTGCCCCGTGCGGTCGAAGCGAGGCACGCATGGTGTGCCGTTTGTTGAGCTCTTCAATCCACTTTCCTGGTCCGTGGCGACTTTGGTTTGTTTTTGTTAAAGTTCTTTCCTTCGCTCCGAGCGGTGCGCGACTTGCTCCCCGCTGTCTCGTCTCTTTCTCTTGCCTGAAACACATGAAAGTCGAGAGTTAGGCTTAGCGTCTGAGGCGTAGAGTTCGAAACGCAGCACCAGCGCAACCGGAGCGAGCATACAAGCCGGCAACCTTCTTTGGCGAACCAGATAAGCGACTACTTGATATAAAAAAGAAAAATCTAAAGAAAATCAACGGGCCTTGTGTTCGGTCCTAACTCATGCCGCAGCCGTTGTAAAGTTTTATATGTGTTTTTCGTTGTTTTGGGCCCGGCTCCCAAATGGCCGACTGAAAACTTCTGCCGCGGGCGAAACCAGCCAATCGAAACTGGATTCTGCGGGATTTACTTTCGCTAAGCGGACTGAATCATGGAATGCGATACTCCGGGAACATTCAGTGACTCTGGCGTCCACCACTGCCGCCGCGGCGCTGCAAGTGCGCACACGCCGTGTCATCGCGTAACGAGGAGGAAAGGCAGAGACGCTCGCGGACGACCGATGCCTTCGCCTCGCGTTGCAAACGCAGCCCATAAACCATGTGATCCCAGTGGAGCAATTGGATGCCCTCTGTAATACTAGCTCTCAACCAGCAACAACGTAGCTCTTCGAATGACGTAGAGTTGGTCGGAAACCGAGGGACCACTTTTGAGGACATGGTGAACGTGCCAGTCGGGGATGCAAGGTTGCAGGCACCGTAGCTTGGGGGTGAACGGAGCGGCAACGTCCGGTCGGCTGAGTCTCTTTGGGCCCCTCTGCCGCAGCACCCTTTCCTCAACGGGGACCTCACCAAGCGGCTGGCCCGGGAACTCATGGAGAAGGTCAACAACCCTCACCACAACTACAACGAACTGGATCCGGACGACGAAGGGGTGCGTTTGCCGGTGGTCGTTTATCAAGGGGCGGTTTGCTTTTAATGCGGGATGCATTTTAACGGAAGCAGAGTTAGGACTTGTGTTGTGTTGTAGATGTAGCTGCAGTCGTACTGTACCGTCGTCAGCCGAGTTTGGCAGGCTAACCTTCCGCTAAATGTAGCGGAATGCCACCATGGGGTCATGGAGTCATGTGAGGTGTCAGGGCACGCCGGGTCGCGTGACGTCGCAATGTTACGTTGGGGTGTCGCGTCGTTGCATCGCGTGACATTGCAGCGTTACCTCGTGGTGTCACGGGACATCCTGACACGGCGGTTATGTTGAATTACTTGCGTCGACGGCAACCTCTTGCAGATCCTTTGTAATGTCCCCCAGAGGATTGCGTCGCAGAGGTCTGCAATGACTGCAGAGAGGCAGAATGCCGAACTCAACAGTGAGTGCTTGTTGTTTTGTATTCTCTTTTGGTTTTTTGCTTTTGAGATACACACTTTCAATTATTTTCTCCTGTTCCTTGCGCTATTCGTACCCTCGGATGCCTGTCCCTTGTAGAGTCCAGTCATAGGAGAGATACTGCATCAGTATTTTTACTAAATGAGCACACATGGGAGGGACTTTAGTAAGTTAAACACCTGGCAAGAAAGTCGGCGGGATTGGTGACCGGCGGGATTGGTGACCGCCACGATTGACCAGTGCCAAGGTCAACTGTGGTGCTGGCCAATCGCGGCGGTCCAACAATCTCAACGACTTTCTCTCTGAGTGTCCAGCTTGGAGCCCCTGGAGTGTTCGTATAGTTACTACAGGCTTGCCCCAACTTTGCTTTATTGGATAGGCGAGCTGACACAAGCCCGTAAGGTGGGTGCAGGCATTTTGGTAAGATTAGTGATGTGATGAAGATGGTTTTGTGAATTGACTTTTCCACAGTGGGGTTGCACCGTATTGGCTCTGATCAAAGTGAGCACTTAGTCATCTGTTTTTGTTTTTCCAGTGGAAAATGTCAGCTTCGAGCAGCGCATCTTTACGGAACTGGGCGGTGACACCACGGACCAGGTGACTAATTTGGGTCATATTTTCGGAGACATACTTATTGTGTCAATTTCGGTTTGGACGTTTCAAAGTGTCAATTTTGTTGGTATTCTGTGTTTTACAGCTCTTTCATTATGTCGTATGTGATCTTGTTTATGAATGCATCAAGATAAATAATTGTGTGCGATATGAGAGAAGAATGGAGCGTCCTGCGTCAGCTGCTGCTCCTAGCACGCTGGTGCATATCGATGAAAGTTGACGCATGCCCGGTATGATGCTGCGCTGATAAGATGGGAGTGGCACATCAAAAAATGCTGCAGAGGCAAGACACATGGTTGATATAGTAATCGTGTCAGCTCATTATGAGTAGGAGACCATGGCTCTATTTTATCGCTGCAGCCGCTGTTCAACCGTTTTACGAAACATCTCCTTGCATCAACCGTGTCCAGTGGCAGATTCTGGGGGCAACAACTGAAGACAACTGCAACGAATGGGAAATTTGAGCTCAAATTCCCGTGAGGGCTTAGTGGGACTGGTATTCAAGAACGCAGCAGCCGGGAAAAAAAGGAGACCAGAAACTTGTGAACGAGGGTCTATTGTAATTAAACTTTTCTGTGGTATAGCAAGTTTTTGTTTGAAAAAAAAAATAAATAAATAAAATCTTTACTGCATTGGTATTTTTCCTGTGTCAGTATCTAAAATGAGAGTATTACAAATGTACTTTGACTTTGACTTGGCTTGGCTGCATTCATACTACTGTGAAAAGGTCTTATCTTACTTACTGTTCAAGTTTTTAACTTACAATGTAAAAAAGCAGCTTGTGGGCTACATGGGGCCGCTGTTTCCACTTGGGTATGCAGCCCAAACAAGAGCAAACAACAAATTGCCATAAAATGCTTTCTTTTTTTTCGGTGATTTTTATAGAGCTCGGCAGTTCATAACGGCCAAGGGAACCACTACGACTTGGCCACGTCTTGGATGGAGCGGGACAGCGAAACGGAAGAGATTCAGAAGTGAGTGATGCCACCTTTTGATGTTTATCGGCTACTTTTTGTTGGCTTGCTATTTGTTTTTCACCCTTCTGACTTCATTCCCAACCACATTAATGGATGATGGCCTGGCGGCTAGGGGGTATGGGTGTCTTTTTTGCGCACCCTCAGCAGTTGGCATTGAGTGTAGAATGTTATGCTCTTATGCCGCCAACATTTGCTCTTGGTCATCCAAACAGAAAATGACGGCACGGGGCATTTTAGCCGGTATTACCGGCCAAATTTGGTTCCGGGCCCATTGTTCTTCGCCTAGAAAGAATGCCGATCGAAGTGTTCTCTTCTAGTTTGATGGGACTTCTGTGTTCTTTTGAAAGGTGTTCGATTGCTCAAAATTTCTAATAAGGATTGCATAGCTTGATGTATTCAAATTGATTACCAGAGCGTTAAAATATTTTTAAACTGACTTTGGGACATTCTTGGTAAATGCGGCATTGATTGTAACCACTCATACTTTCCCATAGAACCGCGTTAGATAATATTTAGGGAACAGGTGGTTTACGTCTTGCTTCAGCATCGTGCAACTGGGCAGTGGAACAAATTCTTGGGCGGTTACCTCTAAAAACTCGGCAAATGTTGTTGTCCAAGTATAGTAGATATGCTTTTGTTAGGCAACCATAAAATTTTTCTCTATAATATATCCAATGGGCGAAATCTCCCAAAAAATGCATAAATGGGGATAACAGAAAATTAGAAGCACTTTGTCTGTGCAGTTATTTTGTGAACTGGTACCTGCTTTTTTTTTCAAATATGTTATATAAGAACTTAAAAATGCATATCAATATAGTAACTTTGTGAAAGGTGGAAGAGAATCTGTTTTTGGGGGGGCCCCTCTCTAGACAACTGTGTTTACTGTAAATGAGTACTATCACATTTCATTATGTCCACCTAGTATTCACCCTCGAACATCGACGGAACTGCATGCAAGCGATTTTGGATTGACGAATCGGCAAAACATGTTAACGTGGCGTAATGGTATGATGCTAAAGAAAATGTGGAGTTTGCCCTTTTATGGCGATAACACAATGTACACTGCACGACACGACACCATTAGAAGGAATACGACATTGGCGCCGTTTTACGTTTTACTCGTACAGAGTATTGATGGGCACTACAGTTTACCAATCCGTTGATTTTTTTTTAGGTACCCTATCTAACTACATTTTCTGCATCCTTGGCCTTTACCCTTTCCAGTATGCTATTTAGTTTTGCGAAATTCAGAATAGTTATTTTCAAGTCAACGAATGCCAAAACTTCCATTCAAATATAGGTACCTGCACTTCTCAGTGCCGTAACTTCATCTGCAGGCAGGCTTGCAGGTCGAGTAGGTCATGCTTATGCATGGGTGTTGGGGCAAGTTTCTGAATCATTCATTCGACACCATCGAACTTCTTGTAATCAGTTGAAAACAAATTCTACAGTACAAAGAGTGGCCTCTGCCTGCCGCTGCCATCACTCTTTCGTTGTTACCAGTAGATACTTGCAGTCTGAAGGTAACGGTGAGGACCAAATTGTAAATTCAATAACTTTGCTAAAGGAATTACTTTGGCATAATATTTGGGGGATTAGTTTAGCGATGCTTGTCAATGTATTTGGTAAGTTTTAAGGTAAATCGAGGCCTGTGAATAAAACGCTGAAGTATACATACCTCTTTAAGATTACTGGCCCGAAGGGGGACTTTCCAAGACATTAGTACTTTTGATGGAAATGGTTCAATTTTAAGTGAAAAAAAGCAAAAACCAGCAATTGCGTGTTTGCACTAACAGTGTCAGGCCGTGCACATGCTTGAAACACTCTGAAAGGTCCCGAATTACTGTCATATTGAAGATGTGATTCAACATTCATGTGGCATTGATTTCGGAGACTCGTGACTTGGAAGTCAGATGACGGGGCACTCGTGAGCCAATCGCAAGCTGCGGCCTCTCTTGCATCAAATGAGCAGGCTTGCAATTGGCCGGTGGGTGCCTTCTATCTTCTGACTGCCAGTATATGTGTCTCTCACGATCAGCACCGCATTAATGATGAATGACATTTTTAATATGGGAATGAAACTAATCTTGGGTCTTCAAAGATACTGAAAGCATGCGGATCAAATTATCGCCATAAAAAGACAAGCTCGAAAATCTGACAGTGTTTTTGCCAGTTTACATAACCCACATTCATTTTTTTTTTTTTTTTTTAAATTTTGAGTGGTCTGTGTGCAACTGTGTTTTTCTGGGTCATGCAGTGTGCTAACTGCGAGCATCCCTCTGCTCTCAAGTTAATATCTGCGAGCTCAGTTTGTTTTAATCGTGTACCAGGTGTTTTTTTCTTTTATACTTGACGAGCAGAACCTTCTAATTTTTTTTTATTGGGTGTCATCTTGTGACATCAGTTCACCATCTTGTGGTTAGCTGTGACTTGTCATCTTCCGAGATTAACTAATTTGATGGTGCAAAGAAAACACTACCCAGCAGCTCGCAACGAAAGGGTAGGGAAGACTATGTCAATGAAAGCACCCCCTAATGTACAGGAAACATACTTTTTTCTTAAATTTGGTGCATTTGTATTATACAGTTTTTTTTTTATCATACCAGTACTATAAAGTTTCTGCTGTGTAGTAGTAGTAGTATTTCATTTATGAATTACATATGACAAAAAAGTGGTGTCAAGCCTCTAATGGCATTAGTACAGCCATCCTGATGTACAGTAAAACCTCGTTATAACAAAACGGGATATAACAAACTAATGGATATAACAAAGCAATCATAATTCCCCTTGATTGCTAATAGTGGGAAGAAGTGGACATTGGCTATAACAAACTAATGGTTATAACGAAATAATTATGACCGCTCCTTCAACTTTGTTATAACGAGGTTTTACTGTACGTACTTGTTAATTTAGAATACCGACACTTTTTTTTTTTCTTTTCAAATTTCGTTTTGCTTTACCAGAGAACTTTTCTATATGTAGCCCATTTTTCTTCCATAAAAATCTTCACTAGTATAATATTGGTATGCCTCATGCTTGTACCAGTACTACAAGTATACTTCATCTTTGCTTCACTATGTCCGTACCCTCACTGTATTAGTTCTTAACAAACACGGGAGGGTTCTACCGTACTGCTGAAGTAAGAATACTGATATAGCAAAGGATGTTTTTGCTGCAAATTGACTTTGCTGCAGTTTCACTGTAGAATTAGTAGCACCATCTGTTTGGACGTGACTCCCCAGCTTGTCTGTTACCTTGTTGCATTGCCCCATCTTACCCCAGCATGGTAACATTTTGTTTCAAGATTGCCGGTTGCTCTTGTAATGTTATCCTCCCGTGTGAATGACATTGTGCCAAAAAACTGCCTAACAAACCAACTTTTCTTTTTTTTTTTTTTTCATGTGGAGTTGAGTGTTTTAAGCACTGAGACATTTTTTGCACTAAACCGGCGCTTCCTAAAACTTGGCATAACTGCCTCATAAACCTGCTGTCCTTCGAGTTGCCTGCAGTTTGAGTTTGAGTTTCGAGAAAGAGGCAAGAGGGGAAGAGGCAGAGTAGGAGGGAGAGATTTGCATGTTTGAAATTTCTGCCGGCTACACAAGATGGCTGAGGCAGTACCACGATAATTCGAGAGTTCCCTAAGAAGTATGTCTTGCTGACCACTCCTAACCGGTCTCACTTAACCGCTCCTAACCCTAACTAACCATTTGTGCCCTGTAACAGTGGCACACTTAGGAAAAGGGGCGAATGAGAGGTAAGGTTGTTTTCAAATTAGTTCTGTTTTATTTTTTGTTTCTTGGTGGTGATCTTGGGGAATGTGAAAGCTCGGCTTGCAGTCATGACAGCATTCCACGATGCGGAGCAAAATTCAAGGTCCGTGAGAGAAATGTCCGCTCGACACAGGGGCACTGAAAACGAGTGGTGATTTTGGCGAGTTGGTTCATGTTTAAGCAATAAATGAAACAGCGTGCAAAACAGTGAAGGCAGGAGAGAAATAGTACACAGGACAAGCGCTTAACTGACTACCTTTCTTATTTTACTTTGTGCAGTGAAGTTAGTTACCAGTTTTCGGTTGCTAGGGGTCTGAGAGGGAAAATAATTTTCTGACGACTCTCTGGCGAGTACTTTCTTTTCTCATCATTGGTTCACCTTTCGTTTTTGGAAGCAAACTTAAATTCGAGGCTGCTTTACACATTGACGAGAGCACAGACAGGCAGAATGGCACCATCGTTAGGTGGCCCCAGAACGCTTTCGATCTGCGTATAACCAGGCCAAAGGTTTTGCAGTATTTGCGAGATCATATGTATGCACAGTTAATGAAAAACGGTCGCTTATGATACGGTCAGATTTTATTTCCAGCCCGTGGCGAAAGAATGACGCGTAAAAAGCGAGGCGATACGAGCGGAACGGAAGTGTTCCGGGGCTGCTCTATAGATGGCGCCACCCTGTTCTCTAGTCATAAGCGGTGCGGTTGCAACGCACTCGGCCACGCCCGAACCTAAACGTGCGAACCGGCTTCCGGTGTCCCCTTTATCGTGGCCGCAGTGGCATGTGCTTTTGGCGCCCCCTGCGGTGCATCGTTTCCGAGATGGGAGGAGTGGTCAGACTGTGTTTTTCTTGGGAATCCTCTCTCTCTCTTCTCTCCCCCCTCCCCCCTCGCTTCTCCCTCTCTGGGGACAGCAGCATAGGGGCTTGCGCGGACGACACTGAAGCGAAATTTTGTGCCGCCCTCAGGAGCCTTCTGGAGATTGTGGACGAAGAACTGCGCCACAGGTACGCCTCCCCGCGGACGAAAAAAAAAAGTCCCCGTTCTCCTTTTTCCTTAATTCTGGTGGCCATTTGTAGAGGCACGACGGCGCACTCGGGGGCACGCCTAGCGTTGCCGACGGTGCACGGAACGCGTCTCAAACCAGTGCGCTTACCGCGTCCTCGAATGTGGTTCCTCGATTTCCGCCCCATGACGTCGTAAAAACATTGTGCCGTCGCTTACCACGGTCCTCGCGGTGGCGGAGACGGACGCAGAAGACGCCCGTTCCACTGCGTATCGCCCTGTAACTCGGCGGTGCCCGGAGGCTCTGGCGGCCGGGACAGGACGGTAAACGCACTGGTTGGAGATGTGTGCTGGGCACTGTGGCAGTGCTGCACCCTTTCCGTCGCGTTCCCCCGGCCCCACACCCCTTTTTCCGCGGGGCCGGTTAGCAGATCTCTCTGGGCGTCTGTCACGTTGCTGCGCATCTGCTGCACCGCAATGTGTGTCGGACGTTGGCTGCGTGTGCATCTGTCACGGCACCATGCGTCTCTCGCACTGTTTGGCGTCTGCTCCCCGTCCGCTTCACGTCTGCTTCTCGTCTGCTCTGCGTCCGATTCATGTCTGCTCCTTGTCTGCTCTGCGTCCGATTCACGTCTGCTCCCCGTCTGCTGGGCTTCTGTGCGTCTGCTGCACTGCTGGATGTCTGTAACGTCTGTCTTCCTGTGTCTCGCTTTTCCGCCTACTATTGCGACATTCTCTTTCTGTCCGTATCGCACTCTCAGACTTCTTTGTCCACGAACACCTTCTTTCTACCGGAGTGACTGCCATGTAGAGCGAACCATGGTGCGCTGCTGCAGTGTGTTGCGAGGAAATTGTCCCAGGTCGCCGAAAATTTCTCTCCCGGCAAGGGTGGTCATCGCAACGAAACGTCTTCTTCCTCTACTCGCGAGTAGACTAATCTTTTTTTTTTTTAAACAAAACTTGCAGGTTTATTTGACAAAACATATTTTTTTATTATTGGTGTCGGGAGGAAGCAATCGCCCTAACACTCACTGACCGCTCAGAAATGTTGGGCTTATTATGTTTGCACTTGTTGCTTAATGATTCATTCTTGAGCATTCTTATCGGCTGATGTCGTAATATTATTGGCTACGGAGTCTTAATAACTCGTCACACACTGCATTGTCACAACTGTCGGTGACTGTAGCCATCCTATCACATAAAGCTTGTTTTCTATGTTATCTTTTACTAAGTGTGTGCCGGCTCCACACGTGATGTCAGGTTTTATGGGGTTTGAGATAGATATTTCCATGCTCCTGTGAGATAGATATTTCTATGCTCCTGTTTGTAAACCCTTGCAAAGTTTGCTTAAAAGGACCATGAAGGCAGTTTGGAAGCTTTATTTGAAGATTGAAATGGGCATTGGGGCATGTCTTGTACGCCATTGACCAAGTTCTAGCCCGAATAGACGTTTGGGTGCCGCACCAATGAGTTAAACAGTTGTAGTAATAATCGCCTTAAGAACGATGCCCCCCCCCCCTTGAGACGGTGGCAGAAACGTGAACTAAGGAGTGCTGCGTGACGTCAAAGTATGACGACAACTGACTCCTCGTTGGGCAATTGGTTCAAACGCATGACACGCTCTAGGCATTGTGGCGGCGTTGGCGAGTTGGGCAGAGAGTCGCTCTGAGGCGTCGACCGAGGAGTCGGTGGCAAGTCTGGGGCACCCTCATGAAGCACCAATCCAAAGTTTCGCGTCCTGAGAAGCATCTCCCGTCCCATCGGCTTGAGGTCGCCGAACGGGAGCTCGATCTCGTTTGCGAGAGCGGCGTTGTCATCCATTTCTTCCGAGTTGACGAGTACGACAACAGCTAATTTGACCGCCCCCTCACAGACTGCCGTGCACTATATCCAACTGCGGTAACCGTGCTGAGCATCCACTATATCCTACCGAAAACCAGCTGTGCTCCTTGACATTGCTTCCCTTTTCAGAGGCAAAAAAAAAAAAAAAAGAATGCCAAATGTTTGTTTCAGTTTAGCAAATTTATTTGCAGGCCCAGAAATGAGTTGCAGAGTTTTAGAAAAAATTTAGTGGCATGCTAGGGCCCCACTGCATCCAAAAACACCTTCTTTTAAAAAGTTTTGAAATTGCCTTCGTGGTCCTTAACGAATTTAGGGGATTTACTGGTTAGGAGTTCAGACTTTGAAGGAGCTTGAGCAGTTACAGTACTATGTGCTTTGCAGGATTTTTAGCTTTCTGTTATTTCTTTCAATGTCATTTTATGTTTACATGTGCTTTCTACTGTAGATAACCCATCTGAGAGCATCCAAATGCTTTTGTATTGTCTACTTTGGGTCAGTGTAAACTCGAAAGGTGTGTGACATATAGTATGCATTACATGTCTAGCTTGTCAAGCCCTTAAAAGCACCATTTCCTGTGCCGTTACAGGCCATGGTGTCTCAGTGCATGTGCAGATTTGTGTCATTGTTTTTTTGTCATTGTTTTTTTTTTAGATCTCTGGTACACTTTATTATTGTGTACTTCACTTATTTCGCTCTTAAAGGGCAACTTTGCTCAATTCCGAAGATTTCGGGCAGTGAGTGATTTTGCATTAAAAAGCGCTAGTAAAAGACACTACGTCATTTACTTCGCGAAAATGGGATATATATTTTTAAATTAATTTTAAACACGAGCACATATTGAAACCGAAACTTCGGCTCCGTCCGGCAACATAGGCCTCGGGCCGCCAAGAACATCGCCATCACACAGTATGAGATGTCACGTGATCCTCTACGCAACGACGGGCGAGATTGGGGCGGGCGTGTGCCAGGCACAAGTTTCGTCTGCACCGCACTCTTTACCACGTTTTGGTATCTACGACATTCGACGATGTCTGAACAACTGTGACATAAGTCTGTGCACGTAGTGTCCGTATGTGGACGAAACTCCGAGAGGCAATAATCACAAACGGAGAGACGACGGCGGCTGTTGTGACGCGAAAGACGGAACGGCGGGACCACGACAGGGCGGCCAAATGGCTCCCAGAAAGTGTGCCGTTGAGGCACGCCGAAAAGAAACGTTGCTGACGTCATCCGCTGCAACCAGACAATAGCGACGTATGGTTATAAATATGACAGCATTGTAATTTGTCGTAATTTAGAGGCAACGATTGTCAAAAGTGCAATGAGAGTTTCATGGTGGTCGATCATAATAGTATAATCGGTATAAAGCTCAATTAAAATCATTAATGCAGAAAATAGGTGCTGGACATACGACAACGGAATGGCCATTGCTAGGCAGTGGCATAGCTAGGAATATTTTTCGGGGGTAGGGGCTGAGGTGGCTGGATGTCCAAGACCTGAGGTGTAGAGGGGAGGGAGGGGATGCGAGATGCATGTGTATATTATAGGGACGGCCGGATTTCGTTTCAGAAAGAAGCTGAAATCCCATAGGCCCCCCCCCCCCCCCCCCCCCCCCCGGCTATGCCGTTGCTGTGAAGTCCACAAAACGGTTGTCCGTAAGAAGATTCACGACGTGATTCTTTCAATGTAGCACCTCTTTCTTTCTTTCTTTTTTTCGGCATATTCTTTCGTTTTTTTTTAATGTAGCGCCATACCGCTTCCCCTCGCCACCCATTGTTATTCGCAGTGACACGGCTCTTCTCTTCGTTGCATCTGAAAACAGCTGTGTCGGTTTCTTTTTTCTTTTTAGCTGTCGAATCACTCCTCATGCCCTTAATCACACTCGAGCACAGTGGCATTTTCTGTTCGCTTTTATTGTTTTTCTTCAGCCTTTCATTGACATTCTGGATCCCATCTAGGTTTGCGCTTTTCACAGCTGTTTCTTTAAAGGCCGCGTGGCTGTTCGGTGAGCCCTCGCGAGTCTGTCGACACAATCGGCGCCGCCTGTCGTTCCTTCCGCGCGGTGTGTTATAGCTGCAGCATTCTGAAGGAGCGTACTGCCAAGGTGTCATGTTTCCTCTCTGTGCTACTACGACTAGTCGTGGCAGGTATTCCCATTCTCATTGTGTCTAATCGAAATGAACTCGATGCTTTAGGGCGGTGCCTTTTACGTGAACTTGGGCCCATCTTCGCAGAAGTCCCGCGTTGACCGCCTCGTGATGATTTTAAAAGCTTCCGTGATTTGTACGCTATTTTAGTAGATTTGTTAATAACTCCAGTAACAATACCCGATACTCCACCAATGTCTTTGTGCATGCTTCAAACATCATAATTGGTGGGCAAAAACGATTTAGCAAAAACTCTCTGCTAACTTGTGAGCCTGGCAGGGTATTGCTCCCTGTTGTTAGCCAGTTTTTCTTTCTGTTTTATTCAAAGTTTTCTATATTAAAAGGGCACAGACTACTTCTAGTATGTTTAACCCTTTCCCTACTAATGGCGGTTGTCACTCGTTTATTCGGACCATAAAGCCCGACCACGGGTGTTACTTGGGTTTTGGCACCTGTTTAGCACGCACTCTGGCAGATGGCGAAACAGTCCCCGTTGTTTCATGTACTTTGGGCAGTTTGTTCGTTTGTTTTGCCGTTTGACAGAGAAAGAACGCTTCATTTAGCCAAGAAAAATAAAAGGAGTCGATTGTGAGTGTTTACGCTAAAACAACATGTCTTTGGTGCGGAGGTTCACTTTAGCCGACAAAGAGATACTAATCCTTTTTGAATGGGATTTATGCTCGGGCACAGGTGATGATGGATCCTTTGGCCTTTTCGTTTTTAGGAATCGTACGATAGTAGTTTGATGGGCAGTGACAAGAGTGATGAAAATGACGTGAATCTTGCAAGCATTCCATCAACATTGGCGTCTGCACGTTAGTGGGACTCAAACTACAAGTCCTGATTTAATTTAAAGCAAGATATGACACCTGGAAGTCGAGGAAATGTTTTTGTCTGATTTTAATGCAAATTGCCCGTTTAAAATAAAATTTTGCTGTACGTTCTTTGTAAGAAAAAATGAGTAGACAAGGAGTCAATGCCTGGGCTATCATCAGACTGTTTTTTTTTTTTTTTTACATCTGTTTTTTTTTGTGGGACGAAAGTGTATGTGTGGTACAGTTTTCTGCCAATCTCACACTTTCCTTCTTTTGGATGTTGTAGTGGCCTTGTGTTAGAGGTTAGGACTGGCAAGTGTGTAGTGTTGCCAGTAGCAGTTTCATCTGCTTTTCTACAGTCATTTCTCCTGTGTCTGTGATTTGTGTCTGGTGATATAACCAGGATCTTGTGGTGCCTAGCATAGAGTTTCCCAATCTGTCCACGTACGTGGCTTGCACCGACGTCACGTCAGCGGTCGCTGTGGTGGCTCTGCTGCTGAATGCTTACCTTCTGCAGCTTAAGTTTTGCACCACCGAATTTGTCGGCCAAAACGAGTGGGAATGGCTATCAGGGTAGTGCTATGACGTCACCTGGAAGCCATGTACAGGGTGTCGCAAAAAAAATTCACAGGGTTTTTTTTACCGCAAAAATAAACTGGGCATCGTCGAACGCTCATTCTCCGGCCAAAGGTAGCACTAGAGGTCACAACCAGATGCCAAAGTTTCAGCCCGATACGATACCTTACTCAAAAGTTATAAGTGATTTTTTTGAAAATTTCAATGGAAAAATGGAGCCCATTTTTGCCCGTTTTCACTTTCTGGTGCCATAGAGCCCCATGTGTTCGAAAACTCCGTCGGCCGCCATTTTCCCATTTAAATTTTTAGAAAATCACTTATAACTTTTGAATAAGGTATCGGATTGGGCTGAAACTTTGGCAGCTGGTTGTGACCTCCAGCGCTACCTTTGGGCGGAGAATGAGCGTTCGGCGATGCCTAGTTGAGTTTTACGGTAGAAAAAACTGTACATTTTTTTTTTTGTGATGCCCTGTATAAGGGGTGGCATGACAGGTGCAAGTTGTGCCGTACAAAGGGCTTTTCTCCTTATCTTGCATTGCACTGAGTGATCAATGAATTTTTTTGCACTTCTCCGGCTCCCAGAAACACCCAACATTTAATTTGAGACCTGTATTGCTAATCATGCTGCAATAGATTAGCAACCTTGACAAACCTTTTTGTGTGTGTTGAAGTGTAATACTTGTGTGTGTTATATTATATCGCTGCAGTAGAATACATTACTTTGTCAAAGGTGTCCTGCCAATACAAGTGCACTCTATTGTTTTCTATGTTGGTTGAATTAGGTGAATTTTTTTGTAAGCTTTACCTTCTTTCTTTTTTTATAAAAGGCATATTATAGTTAATATCTATAACATCTCATCTGTAGTTTGCCTTAAGAGAGTATTGCCATGGAAATTTATCTTTTAAGTTGCTACTAGATTCAATTTATGGGTGTGCACACTGATGTTAGCACCATATTTCACTATGGAAATTGTTGGACGAGGCAACACTTGCTATTTAAAATGTGACATGGATAGATACGCTGTATAGAATGTGTCTAGACGATGTATTGTACGTACAGCAGAACCTGAACATTTCAAATGCCGAAAAACGAGCCAGAAAATTGGTGCCATCACCTAGCAAGCTGCAGCGTTCAGCAAAAATTCATTCTTGCAGTCAATTTTACCTTTTCAATTTTCTATGCGTAGCTCTGTTCTTATGAAGAGGGGATATCTCGAGATCTGGAGAAATTTGAACAACAAGCTTATTGCAAATGTCAAGTCCTCCTATGCAGGGATGGCGCCACATGTTGTCTACCATTCTCTATCTCACCGTTAGAGAGAGCCCACACAGAAGATGCCACACTGGCCACAGTCGATAAATTTGAAGGTACCAGAAATTGTGTTTAAATTTAAATAAGGTTAAGACTAAGAGAAACAAAAGTAAGTGCTCTTGCTGCCCCTGGCTTGGAAATTTGGCCCATCCGTTTTCAATGACGTGTGGCACCATCTCTCAATGGAAGCACCCAACACGAGTGCTAATACACTGTCTGAGTGCATCAATTAAAAATTGTGGGGTATGTCTTTCCCATTTCCTTTGGGAGTGGAGTTACACTTTTATAATGAAATGAGCTACACCACCCCTTCACAGACATTCCAGTTCGCTGGGTCGTGGTGCCAAACTTTTCCCAGCTCGGTTTATGGTGGTCCGGACGTTTAGGACACGTTGTAGTTTTTGTTGTCATTGATCGCGTGTAGACAAAAACTATACTGTGTAGTTATAGATGGTTTATAAAAGTTTTGTATAAACCTTACATTGTTTTTCTAAACACGACGTTAGCTGTGTTTGAGACCAAATTCTTGTCACCAGCTTCATTCTGTCTTGTGAACACGCAAGTTTGCATTTTGTTCCGGCAATAAAAAAAAAAAAAAAATAGAGACGGGAATGTTGTGGAAATTCTCCGGTTCTGACGTCGTGCTCAAACCGCATTATTTTCCAGGGGTCACCCTGACAGGTTGTCCGAGCAGGACCTCAAGTACTCGCAACAGTAAGCGTCGTTGCATCGCGCCGACCGCCGGCACTAACCCCACTATCCACTAACACCCGGCACTCCCCTTCGACACCGGTTGTCGGGGTGTGGGGGGCGGTGTTGGGGCTGGCTTTGGTCTCGAAACGCCACGTCTGCATTTGTGTCGCAGTTGGCTGACTTTTCTTTTAGGCCTCGTTTTGTGGGGACAAAACGTCCCTCGTTTAATGCGTTGGCATGCGCGCCTGTTGCTCTAATAATGTTGTCGCTAAATGCTGCCGCCAGATCTTTTTTTTACTTTATTTTTTTAGTTTTACCTGAACATGCGAGAATATTCTGGCTTTTCAGCTTGAACAACGCCGACACGCAAAAGCGCTGTACCACCGGCGATTATCTTGAGGTTACGGCGATGCGCCGCGTAATTCGTGGGGAACTAGGTGTACAGCCACTCCATTATTATTTCTGTCTTTAGTAACCATTTTGATATGGTAACATTAGGGTTTCTAAAGCTTAATTGCACTCCTTGTTTTGTTGTGGTTTTTTCTTGAAGCAAAGGTTTACAAACGCCTCTTGCGAGACGACTGGAGTAGACTGTAGTTGGTGTAGTGGGCGCCAAAATACCGAGACATGAGAGTCGCATCGGAGGCTGACATGTTTCTATTGTGCCTCTCGCAGGTATCTAGAGGGTCTGTTAGTCCGATTAGCCTGTTGCATTGTCTGTGGCAGTGTGGTACTTTGGTCTGAAATGGAGCGGTTGTGCCTGCTTTCTTCTCGTTGTTTCCAGACTGCTTTCTGCCGCTTTGTGTTGTTTTCAAATGGCTGCTGACTGCACCTCACACACACTATTCTCTCTTTTTTTTTTTTTCTTTTTTTTAAGCTTGGTGGCGGAAGGGTCGGCGTTCTCACTAGTGACCAAATTTCTGACCTTACCCTTTTAGCGCCTAAGCAAAGTGGTGTTTTTTTGTTTTTTTTCTTGTTTTGGGGTTGTAGTTATCTGTTAGCTATCAGTTTTTCTTGTTGTTATTGCTTTGATTTCTTTTTACATTTCTAGTGGGCCCGTGATGAAACTTTAAAAAGAACTTGCTTCCAACCTATTGGCGGACGAGGACAAACGTGGCATGATGCTCGTTGTAGCGGGATCGTAGAAAGGGGTTTTTTAGGTGTTTCTGATTGATGCTGGCTTATTTTAAAGGCAAATTACCGTAGCAAAATCATTTTGTTCAAACAAAGTATTTTTTTTTTAATAATCTTCAGAGTGTTAGGAGCAAGACATGATTTAAAGACTAGAAGTTTAGAAAAGGGTAGGAAACATTGTAGAGACAAGCACTGTGTTACAGCTACCCCCCCCCCCCCCCACATCCTTTGTTGGTGTACAATATTTGTTCTTTCTTAATTTGTCAAACTTTTGTTTTGCAGGGCAACACTTCCAATGGACAAGATGGACAATTCTGTGAGTTGTAGCTTTTATGATAATGGTTTTTGTAAGTTTACAGAATGTTTTATAGTTTGTCTATCACAGGCACTGCATGACCTTGGGAAGGGGAGAATGGGCTATAGACCTATTGCTAGATTACCCAAGCATCAAGGAGAATGCAGGGATTGGTGTTCCATGCGCCGCACGTGCTGGCGTCAGCAGTTGTAATTTTTGTAAAGCAAATACCTAAAGCAAATGGCATCTTGCACGTGCGTTCGTCTATGCTTTATTTTGGTTATTTACTTTGAATCTTTAATACAGGGAAGGCGTGCACGTGTGGCGCATGGAGCACTAATCCTTGCATTCTCCTTGATGCTTGGGTAATATAGCAAAAGGTCTATTGGACCTGGTTCAGACACTTTTCAGTGCCTAGCAGCAGAAAAGACATAAATCTGTAATTGATTTACAATTTCATAAATCAGTTGTCTACTTGATGACAATGGATGCAATGCATGTTTCTCTTTTGGAAACTGACTGGTCTAGCTTGTTTTATATGGGAAATGTTAATTTTATGGACAGTCTTTCTGCTATGGGAAAGGTTGTCATTTCAGTGAACGTTGAAATTAAGGCAGATGGTGCCATTATAATGAATGTTGCCATTACAGAAATAGTTGATGGAAGAAATGTTTTAATTATAACGCAAAAGCAAATGTTGCCCTTATGCCAAATGCTAAAGCGAGTTTGTTAAATGTTTTTGAACAAAATAATGCCACTTCTGCAAATGTTGCCTTTACAGCCAGGGTTGCCATAACGGAAAATAGTGTGGGTATCGAATGTTCCTTTTGTAGACCCTCCTCCGTGCCTTGTGGGGACAGAGCAGCCGAGAGATTGGCCTGCCCTGTTTGGGAAAGGAGGTACAAAATGCATTATAGAAAAGGTGCTGGCACTTGCTTTGTGGTGCGTTTACCAAGACGTGGGCACGTACTACTTTGCTGTTGTCTCACATGACCCTTTTCAATACTCGTGCAAGCCAATTCCCTTTTCTTCTAACGTGATTACTATGCGTTCCTATTCCCATTCCGAGACATTCACGTCTTGGAATAGAAATTTCTAGTGTCGCACATAAATTGAAGTTGGAAGTAGAATATAGGGTAGCATAAGTGGAAGGGCTGGCTGTTACGCGAGCCAGTATAGTCGGCTGCTCCCTGTAGAGAGGTCAAAATTTCGTGAAGGGTGCTTTTAGCGGTGCGTTTTACCTCGTTAAATCTAGCTCCGTTCCTGCAAAAAATAAGAAAACGTGAGTGACGTTTTTAACGGCGAACTTGGATGCAGATGACAGTCGTTCGAGAGTCGTGCTTGTGACGCCATCCACCGGTAGGCGCAGCGAGCACTCGGTTTTGTTTATTTTTTGGGGGTGAAGAGAAGTGGGGAAGCCAGGAGATGTGTGGGTCTCCATTGATGGGACCAGTTGCTACCTGTTCAAAAGCGGGTAACGCCATCGTCTGCTTGCTGCGTCTGTTGGGAAATGGCGCCACCAGCACGACTCTGGGGCAACCCGGTCAACAGTCATATTCTAGGTAATTTCTCGCGGGTACGGAGCTACTCCTTGAAAGTTCACGAGGTAAAATCCACCACCAAAATACACCTTAACTGAAAATGTAACCACTCTACGCAGAGGCACCGATTTCCTCGGTTCGTTTTACCGCCATCTTCTCTATTCAAGCCACCTTGTGCATTAAATTAAATTAAAGTAAAAGAAAACACAATTAGGCTTGATCATGCTGACAAAGACCAGGAAGCACAAAGTGTAATTTGTGCTAGATTTTCAATGATTTGATTATCTTTTTGCCCTCTTAATTTTTTGTTTATTTTCATCTGTTTATTTCTAGTTATTTTTGCTTTTAATTTGTTTGAATTTGTTTATTTTTACTTACTTCTATTGTTTTTTTTTTTGTTTTTTTTTATGTGCATCGAGAACCTGCTTTTCCCGCCAGCACGTTTGCATTCAAATAAACGAATTTACCCTGCCAGAGCAGCTGTGCTGTAGTAGCTCACTGGTTATAGCATCTGACAACCGCTGCACCGACCCAGGTTCTAGCCCTGCTGGGGCTCCAACCTTATATATCGTCTTCATATACAACCTTAACGTGCGTAATGCTCCCGGCATGTCACTCATTCGTGACGCTCATTTGTGGCAATCTTCTCGTAGAAGGCGACCCACAAAACACGTTCTGCGCTAAAACATTGTGGCACGGGCAGAGAAAGAAAACTCGAATCGGGTAAACGAGCTGGCAAAACTTTGTCGTAACGGACGAATGGGTAATCGCCCCACGCACGTTTTCCGCCCACCCACAGGGTCTGTGGCCGGCGTTGCGCCTCCACGAGAACGGGCACGGCAAGGCGTCCAGCGGACCGAAGGGCGCGCAGTCCAGAGACGGAACACTGGAAGCTCCCCGCTCCGGAATGCTGCCACTCTCGAGCTACGCCATGCTTGAGACGGACATACTCGGAGACGGCCCAGGTGAGGAGCGGGACCTTTCTCTCTTTGGCTCAGGAGTTTGCATTCCAACGCAGAATGTACAATAGGGCAGGGTTTTACGAGAAAAGCCCCACATTATGCTCGAGCATCACTTCGATTGACTCGCGGGTCAAGGTCATTTGAAGGGCAACTCCACCTCATTTTTGTCTTCAAAGAAAAGAAAAATGATGCACTCCTCTTCAGTGTCACCTACGACTCAGGAGGACCACACGTCAATTATTACGACCTAGTTCTGTCTGAAAGTTCCTTGAACGGCTTTGGAAGGCGCCAAGTTGCCGAAATCGGCTGACACTAGCGGGCAAATTGAGGGGCAATCAACGGCGCAGTCGAGGCCGTGACGTTGGCGTAGCCAACATTGAGCTAAAGATTGTCGACATTGATACTTTTTGTTTGTTTGGACTTGTCCGGGCAAGCGTAGCAAATGACAGCTGCAGCATCTCCTCTCGGCGCTCAGCGGTGTCCACGTGATTGGCGTAACACGCCTGCGCAGCGCACCTCTTAGCCTTGGGAGTCGTTCGGCCTTCCCGCTGTCTCCTGCGTCACAACTGCTGTCGTCGTCTCGTCGTTTGTGATTACCGTTTCTCGGAGTTTCGTTCGCACTACGTGCGCAGACAAATGCTGCAGTTGTGGTGCAGACGTCATCGGATCTCATAGATATCAGAAGTGGTGAAGACTGCAGTGCAGACGATACTTGCACCTTGCACACGCCCGTGCCAACAGTGGCTTGCTCCGATCCTGCCTGTCGTCGCTTAGAGGATCACGTGACCACTTGCACCATGTATTAGCCATGTTTTTGGCGGCCTGAGGCCAAGGTTGCCCGACGGAGTCAGAGTTCTGGTTTTGGTTTCTGTTCATGTTTAAAGTAAGATTTCACAAAATCTATCCCATTTTTCGCAAAGTGAATGGGGTAGTACCTTTTATTAGTGCTTCTTAATGTACAATTACTCACAATTCCGACATTTCTGGAATTGAGTGGGGTTACCCTTTAAGCGGTATATATAGACTAATAGGGGCCATATTGCTTCGTCGTCAAGTTGTCCCATGACTCCATGACGTCGGGTGATGTCACAGAGTTACATAACTTCTCGCACGCATGCACACACACACGACATTTGCCCAGCTCATTTGCAATGTATTCTGTGTCTGTGAGTTTGTCAGATGCGATCAAGATGTGCTTTTTCTCTCTGTCAAGCATGTACTTTATGTCGGTCTACTCAAGCACACTGGGACCCTTCACCTTTAGGCTGTTTACCGTCAGCTTACATCACATTTCCCAATATGGCACTTTACGACGGAGATACCATAATACTACGGAAGGGAATGTTCCTGGTAACATTTTACGGCTGAAACACTGTAAAGTAGCAGTTTGAATCAAAAGAAAATACTCCAACCGAAGCCTCGAAAAAGTAACCCAATGTTTTGAAACCTGCTTGGTTTTTCCGTAGTCTTCGTCTGCCGAGAACCTCCGTAGAAAAGGGTTGTTCTTGGCTGACAAAAAAGACAGAACCTGCTGCTGCCCCGTGCTGCTGCCCGGTGCGATTCAGTCACCCCTGAAGAAGAAACCGAGCAGGTTTGGAAACATTGGGTCAGATTTCTAGAGCTTTCGTCCGAGTTTTTTTCTTTTTGTTACTGTAGTTCCACCTGATCCAGTGGCAGATCTAAGGGGGGGGGGGCGACGGGGGCGGCGGCCCCCCTTCCCTCCCCCTTCGCGGAGGGCGATTTGACATGGGTGTACCCCCCTTGCACAAGAGAGAATGGGAGAATAGTATCCTTAAAAATTCCCCCCCCCCCCCCCCCCCCCAGAACGGAGTTCTGGATCCACCCCTGACCTTATCGGATATATTTCTGTCTCAGGTGTTTACGTTACAGAGTAGCAGTTGCAAAAATTACAGAAGAAAGTCTCTAATTGCATTTTTTTTTTATCCATCCGGCAGAAGACGCCCACGAGAACAGTCCGACACCCACGGGAACCCTGGAGAAACAAGAGGACGGGCTATCGGAGATGGAGCACGGGTCGAGGGAGGACGGCCAAGAGAACGTGCACTCGAGCGGATACCGGCCCGAGGCCCCGCCCCGCAAGAAGGAGAAGAAGCGGACGCACCTGGTCGCAAGCACGCCCCTGGTTCGTGACGCCATCTCTTGTTTCCTCGTATTTATTGTCGGGCACCCACCCGCTTCCGGAAGTTCCGTCTCGACGGGATTTTCACTCTCTCCAGATAACATTACAGAAAGTGCATATTTTTCGCGTTCGGTTCACTCGAAAGTTGCATATGCTTGCAAAAATGTTTTTTCTTTGAGTTTATTTTTTACGGCGACACCCGTTAGTGGGAGCGTTCGCAGGGGTTGATGTCGTTGTCCTTTGTTAAAACTTCAGGTCTTTCGGTCTTGCACGAGGACGTACTGGAGGCTAGCATTCGAAAGAGACGTCCTACCGTTTTCACTTTAACAGCGACCGCAGCCGAGACCCCGTCGTGCCGGCGCTTGTGCACGACCGTCCGAGCAGACGAACTTGCAAGCCGTACGGCCAGACCTTGAAAGGTTCGTGCCAGGTCTGAAGAATGCGACTTTCGGTTGCGGCATTTGAGGAGGCTCATCAAAGACCGAACACGGATTGGGCACGGGAGTGGCATCGGGAAAAGAAGTGAAAACGGCGCGTGAATCCTTCGAATTGCGCTCATGAGGAGGCGTTGGAACGACGCCGACGCCACAAAGATAGCAAATTACGCAAGCAGCTCGCTGCTCGAGTTACGTTCTCCACACGGTGTTTTTCACAAATTGAGAGCAGTAGAGCTGACGGCACGACTGTCGGAGCCTTCTGTTGAGACAGTCTGTCATTTGGCGGCTTGCTCTTGCAGAAGCCCGTGAGCAACGGCCTTCCCCCGACTCCGAAGGTGCACATGGGGGCCTGCTTCTCCAAGGTGTTCAATGGCTGCCCCCTCAAGATCCTCTGCAGCACCAGCTGGATACACCCAGAAACCAGAGGTGCTCGCTACCGCACACCTCCTTCCGGGCACAGGGCCACACACGTATCGTTCACACACTTGCGTTTGCTGACGACCGAGCTCTTGCGATCTTTTACTACGGGAGTACAGCCATCTGTGAAATGGTCTGGGAACTGCATTTCACTAGAGCGAAGCTTTTGCGACATTTTCGAGATCAAATGTCCATACCATCTACGAGAAATGGTGGTTTATAAAGGAAAGAAGGATGTGTAAAAAAAAATAGGACTTGCACAGAAATGCGGAGTGTTCCGCGGCTACTCGATAGATGGCGCCAGTGTTTCCTTTTGTCGTAAGATGTTTAAAGGGTTTCTGAGGCACACGGTCGTAAGCGATTGCAAGTGTGTGAACCAGGCTTAAGAAGGTGCGAAAGAAAGCCTGGCAAGCCTGGAGCGTTCAAGTGCCCGAGACTCGGCTCCCCTTGCCACTCTGTTTGTGCGCTTGCTCAGCTGTGCTTTTTTTCACCCGGTCCGAACTGAGACTCTTTTTCTAGAGAGTGGCCCTGGCCCTGAAAGTCAACTCGAGGGTTTGACGGAAGAGCTCTTACGGTTTTTCGTTTCTCTGCAGACCAACACATACTGTTTGGTTGCGAAGAGGGCATCTACACTCTGAACCTGAACGAACTCCACGACTCGTGCGTCGACCAGGTAATTGCGGCTTCGACTTTCTCTGCAACTTTCTCGCGTTCGTCTGCACCGTCGACGCTCGACTTGTCGGACTTTTGCTCCTTTGCAGATTTTCCCGAGGAGAACGTCCTGGATGTTTGTCGTCAAGGACGTCCTGATGTCTCTCTCTGGTTTGTGCCCCCCCCCCCCTGTGTTGATTTGATGGCACTGGAGATTCTGGATGGGGTTGTAGAGGGAGTGGCAGGTCAAAGACCTGTCGGACGGACATACCAAATATGAGAGCAACGGTCGACATCATGACGTTACGTGCCGCGTGACGTCATGATGCCGTACGACGTTTCACAGTGTCGCGTGACTTCATGGTGTCTTCGTCGAGGCTGCAGATGCAAAAAAACGGAGGCTGGCCATACAAGTGCCGCGCATTTAACGAGCAATTGAGAGCGCATGCGGTCGTAAAAGGGTGTGGTGGCGTGGGCGCAGGCAAGAGCCAGCAGCTGTACAGGCACGACCTGGTGGCCCTGCACAACCGGCAGGGCCAGCGCTTCTCGCTGCCCGTGAACCGCATCCCCGAGAGGCTGGTGCCCCGGCGCTACGCGGCCACCTCCAAGGTGGCGGACACCAAGGGCTGTCTGCGCTGCTGCGTGGGGCGCAACCCCTACAACGGCTACAAGTACCTGTGCGGGGTCTGCCCCCTGGGCGTCTTCCTCATGCAGTGGTACAACCCCCTGTCCAAGTTCATGCTGCTCAAGGTGACTTCACTCACCCACACATTTGTTTGTTCACTCGAGCCGACGCTTGCACCTTCATTGCCTAGCTCACTCGCACGTTTGCTCACTGACGCTCTCACACCTTCATTGATTCACTCGTGCTGACACTTGCATGTCTGTTCACTCACTCGCACGTTGACTCATTGACAGTCTTGCACATTTACACATGAATGTTGGTATGTGCTTTTAAATGCAGCCTCTCCGCATTCATACATGCATCCGACATTCTCTCACTCCCTCACCCGCAGATTTAATCGCCCACATACTCGCACATGCGCACACAGATGTTGGAACGTACAGTGAGATGCAAGCTGCTGCAGCCATCCTTATGTTTACTCACAGACGTTCTCATCTCACACGTTTGCTCACTCCGTCGCATGCAGGCAGGCTAGAACGTATGGTGAGGTGCAGCCCCGCTGCATCCGCCTTTACCGGAATGCGTTTGCGCTCGTTCCACTTCTGCGTGCGTGCCATACGTAGTGAGTTGCGTGTGACTGGTTTCTTCTACTGCAGCACTTCGAGTGCATGGTGCCGTCGAGACTCAGCATCTTCGAGATGATCATCACTCCCGACCTGGAGTACCCCGTTCTGTGCGTCGGCGTCCGGAAAGGGTGAGTGCCCCGTCACATTTTTTCAGCAAGCAATTTTAGAAGAAACTTTAAACTCACAAAAAAAACATTTCTTTTTGATACTGCATGTGACATGCATGTCACAAAAAAAAAAGCCTTTGCAAAAAAGAAAAAAAAAAGAATTAGCGTAATTTTTATGTTCATATTTCCGATATTACAGCGCACAAAAAAACATACAATTTGCACAGGAACACTTGTGCCATTCTGCACAGGAGGTGTTTACTATTAAATTGCATATGCACTCCATGGTTGGAGTCTCTCCCTCTCTTAAATCTTGGCTGTCTTAGTCATCTCCATCGTCGTCGCTGGCGCTTCAAACACACCTATCGGCATGCCACGACGGCTTCTCCGCGTGCAATGCTAAGAGGCCGCTTCCCAGTTAAGGAATGGGGAGCAGACGGTGATGCAAACGCTGCCGCCGTGGCCTTTGTGACACGTCTGCGGCCTGTTCTGGGTGACTGCTCAACCACGGCTGCAAACTGCAACGGTCTGCAGCCTGTTCTGGGTGACTGCTTGGCTGCGGCCACAAACTGCGGCGGTCTGCTACTTAATAAACTTTCCGAATTCAATTATTTTTTAAATTGTCACAAAATTTTTTTTCGTTATATCTGCAGGGCTGCTCAATTTCGTTCACTAAAAACAGGCATGAATAGTACATTGAAAAAGTGTGGACGAGAATGGGAAATTGCGATTGCTTTGCTATAGCCGCCATTTCGTTATAACCGACTTCGTTACAAGCAGGCACGACTTACTCTGTTTTGGTGATCTCCCTAGATTACTGCTTGTGGCATTACGTCCAATCAGCAGCCGGAAGCGGCCTTGCTCTCACCTCGACTAAAATCAAACCCCCTGGACGCTTTCTCTCTTTCGTTTCCAGGTACGACGGGGCCCAGCTGCGGCTGGACACGATCGACCTGAACTCTTCGGCATGCTGGTTCGGGGACGAAGACCAGGACGGCATGGAGACAATGGTTCCCCGCCACGAGCTGCTGCGGGTGGTGCACGTCACCCAGATCGACAAGGACACCGTCCTCGTGTGCTACGACAGTGAGTGGCGGCCGCGGCGCAGCGCGGGCACTCTGCTTTTCTCAGTCTAGAAAGTCATCCCAAAATACCTTTGAGTAAAACTGATGAGCCTCTGCGATCTCGCGTTTTTCTGCGCAGATCAAGTGAAGTTGTTGGACCTTGAGGGGCAGCTGAAGCCCAGCGAAGTCCAACCTGCCGAGCTCCACTTCGACTTCAGGGTGGAGTACATCGGTGAGCTCTCTTGTTCCCACACACCCTACTCGGAGCACGGTTTAAGGCGGCGACGTCGAGCCGCGATAATCGATTGCGCGTCGTCTGTCTCCCTGCCCGCCAGTGTGCCTGCCGGACAGCGTTCTGGCGTTCCACCAGCACGGCATGCAGGGGCGCAGCTTCCTCAACAACGAGGTGGTGCAGGAGATCTGCGACACCACCCGCACCTTCCGCGTCCTCGGCTCCGACAGGTGCGTGCCGATCCCTCGTCTTTCCGTTCGTAGTGAAACGAGGCACCGACTTATTTGTTTACCATTGAGGTTTTCTTACGTGGTCGTTAGAATCGGAACAGATGCGAGTTCTCTGCCCAAGCAGGGAGAGAGAATTGACCTTTTGTTTTATTTAATTACCCGAACACCACGTGTGTTTTCATGTGCCACGTTTGGTGGCGTTGGCGGCAGAAACTTTTCTAATCCGAAACTCTACAACAAGGGGCACTGTGCACGTGCATTTGTCAATGCCTTATTTTAGCGATTTGATTCTAATTTTTCATAGAGATAAGTTTAATTTACGCTACTGGTCCTTGTTCAGGATGAGTTGAAGGGGCACTAAACCACTTTCTGCGATAGTCTATTCGTAATTATAACTCAATTTATGGGCTCTAGACATCCTAAAAAACCAAACATTACATTCACGTGTCCTTCTCCTCACTTGGTGGTACCTTCTGGTGTCTGTGATAGTTCTGGGATCTTTGATACCGACTTTAGTAAAGAAATTAGCCATGCATGAATGTGATGTTTGGTTTTTTAGGATGCTTAGTGCCCATGTATTCAGTTATGACCATGAATAGACTATCACAGAAAGTGTTTTAGTGACCCTTTAAGAAATCTTTGCAGAAATGCACTTGCACAAAAAAATAAAAGACGGTTACAGAAGCAAAGGTACCAAGTTTCCATGCTTTCACATGTCGCAAATCTATAGCAAAAAAAGAGGCCGCATCTCCACGTGGTGAATGATGTTGATTGGGGCGAAGCTCTGGTGGTGCTGATGATACCGATTTTATTGTTCATAGGTAGTGCTGGTGATGCTGATATTTTTTTATTGCTCATAGGTAGTGCTGAGTGCTGAGTTCTGGGTTGTGTTTGGACTTCATTATTACTGCTTTATGGTCAGTGAAATGCAGAGCCAGTGGTTCTTCTAGCAGATCAGCTGGGATCCGCTAGAAGCCGTGGGAACGCATCTCCACCGCTTAAGTCAACGGTCCATGTCAGAAAGAGAATGTGGTATGGATCGTGGTTATATAAGCATTTGAGCATTTGACCGCAGCACCCTCTCGTCTATAAAAGTTGAGCCAATGCATGCAAAGTTTAACGCGATTATATACGCGTTTGACCGCAGCGCCCTCTCCTGTATAGACGTTGAGCGGCTACATGCAACGTTGGAGTGTAGCGTAGTGGTTAAGACGTCTGCCTCGTAAGCAAGCGGTCCTGAGTTTGAACCCCCGTGCGGGCGTACGTTGTTTTTTTTTAAAAGTGGGCCGATCTCGGAGGCAGTGCAATCGATGTGAGCACGGACGCCGGACGAATGGACAAGGCTAGACCCTAAGGAGCTTCGCCCCTAAAAACAGACTAAGAAAAGGTGTACCTATGTTTCCAGCATTCTTCTTGGTGCCTGGATAATTTGGCAAATGTCTCTAGCTCTTGAGCATGCAAGTTGTATAGGTTGCTTATTTTTATCGTTCGTTTTTTTTGGTTAGTTACGGCGAAGACTAATCTTTGGAGGATCCTTTTCTGTTTCGGTTAAGTCTGTGTCTCCTTTCCTCTCTTTTGCATCGTCAGCGCGAAATATTTTGGGTTCACGGCGGCTGACCCCACCTGCGAGCAAGCTGAAAGGTCAGGGACACTTTAGTTTCTCCTTTGGTTTTGTAGCGTAGTTTCTTAGCTTGGCGTCTATCGTAGCAGTGGCGCAGACGAGAAAAGGCTGTCGTACGATTGGCGCGTGATCAGCGAGGCGATTCTTTCATTTGCAGGATCGTCGTGTTGGAGAGTCGAGCAACGGACGAGCCCAGCGGCCCGTCCAATATCTACATCTTGGCAGGACACGAAAACAGCTACTGACGTGGTTCTGCACAGTGAGACGTGGTACGAGACTCACAAACCTCGCTCGACCTCCAGTCGTCGTCTGCGTCGGCCCCGCGCCGTCACCTGCAAACCAGGACCGAGGCACGGAAACTGCGAAGCGACGTGCAGTCCAACTACAAACATTTTCGTTTTGGTCGTACGGAACTCATGACGGCCAGTCGACGTGCGCCAGACTCGAGACGGAAGGAGGTCCGTTCTTCGTGCATTTTTTTCTTTCTTTTTTTTTTTACTTTCTTAAGGAAAACGGCACGTCTTTTTGTTACCGACTGTACAGTGGCGGCCTCCCTCACCACCCGATATTTATTTGTGTATATAAGCGAACAGTGTCTACTTGTGTGCGGTGACTTTGACTCCCCTCCCGGGCGGCAAATCCCGTGCGTTACTTCGATTCTTTCTCTCGTTTTTCGTGTGCGTGTAGTCTCCTCCCCACTTTGCAAGTTGCGTCTTACTGTTGCGTGAGGTTCAGTCTGTTTCGGTTGCTTTTCCGTGAAACTTGTCCATGATGCAGCAACAAAATGTGGCAGGTGTGCATTTTTTTTTTTTTTTTTCTTGTCTCGAAATTAGATTGACGCTTGCTGACTGGCAAGTCGTGACCTTGGACTTTTTTTTTTTATTAAATTTTTGGTGAGAAATGGCAATGTTTGGGAGATTGTGACAGGCTGTTGGTGCGACTCAATGTTGGGATGTACAGTTTGTCTGTGAATAGAGACGTTATTGTCATTTCTTTCACTTTTATCGAGGGACCCTGGAAAAATTGCTCGGGCTTTCCTTTTTACGTTGGAAAGCAATGTTTTTTTTCTCCTTTCTCGTGCAAGATTTTCTCCCGCTCGTTCGAACACACATTGTGCTTTACTTCAGAAATGGCCCGAGGTCCACAATCTCCGAAGGTTGTGCTTTCGTCGGGAGTTTGGAACTTGGCGTTGAGGGTTGGGTCGAAAGGACTATACGGCCAGTGCCGCTTAGAAGCCGAATAAATGCGTCGTCGCGCCGTTGGCTTAAACGGAGACGCTGTTGTTGCACGACTGGAACTCGTTAACTAATCACGATTGGTTCCCCCCGGTGAATCCTGCCGATACGAGCTCCTCCACAAGTTGACCAGTCCACGTGTAAACTGCGAGTCTGTGTTGCGGGGATTTCACTCCAGTGAACGTTGCAACAGCATTGAATGCAGAATGAAATTAACCGAAACCACGTCGAGGCAAAGGCAAGTGAGCTGATCTACGGCTGGGGTGCGTTGGTTAGTTCAAAGTACAATGTCGAACAACAACAGTTTAAATATTGAAGGCAAGTCGAAGTCGCCTTAGCAGTAGAATGCATTCCTTAACGCGTGGCACGCCGGTGGTATCAGATGTGCACAAAAAAGAGAGAGAGAAATCCAAGTATATTTTTCGGGTGTCTCTAGTGCAAAAACTGACGATAGCAGTTTATTTAGATACTCAGCAAAGGACTCTTACCTTATACAAGGGACACATTTACAGTGTTAACCGTGTTCAATACTTTTCCCAGGTCTGGGCGTTTTAGGCGGCAGTTTGTGGTGGTAGAGCGACGAAAGCGTTTGTTAAATGTGACGCGAAGGTTCTTCCGCTAACGTAGAGTAGTGAAAGCCTTTGAGAGATCGGTAATGCTAATAGCGTTTTAAGTCGCGCGAGGGCAACGGCAATGCTAGTGTGGAAATATCGAGTTGCTCGTTTCTAGGCACACGGCAAATCGGCTTTGTGCAGAATCCGGGAAAAACTGTGCGACAACAATGACCGACTTCTGCACCTCTGTAGTAGATTGTACGTGTAAAAAAAGGTGTACGCCACTTGCGTAAGCTTTTCTGTTTGAAGACCGATGCATTGTGTACATATTGTAATAAGATAGTAGGTTTTTTTCTTTTGCCCAGAAAATGCCGCAGTGTGATAGCTATGCAAGCGAGCGTTGCATTCGAGGGTTATTTTACAATTCCCTTTTTTTTTTACGGCATGTTTATATTTTACGAGCCCGGAGAGTGTTTGTTGTATATGTTGTGTGCTTCGAAGTTTTAGAAGAATGTATTCGTTGACAACGAGCCTTTTTTTTTTTTCCTCTGATTGCACGCACAATTTGCATGTGCACAAAAAAAAAGGAGTGTTTTTTTTTGTGACTGGCTTTTGGTGTAGAGACGAAGTGTGATACAACTGATTGGACCAAATTAGGGATAACATCTTATTGCTTCTGGTGTTTTTATTTACGAGAAATGAGAAGCGTCGTTTCGATTTAGGCTCTTGGCGTGGCTCGGTCGCTTTTGAGTCGGCGGCGAAGCGGCGTCAAAATTGGTGCTGCCTCGCGAGGAGCGTTAGTTGGCGCTTGCCGCTGCTCGGTCTCTGTTCTCGTACAGTGGTCAGCAAGGTACCCGCGGAGTGGACTTCCCGATGGGTGTGAGACTTTAGGCCCCCTGTGTATAACGCTAGCTGTGATGTTAGGATTACCCCTTTTTATTACGATTACCGTTTCCGTGCTTGTCAAATGCCAACGGGAAGGCGACTGTAAAAAATGAAAGAAATAAAGTTATCCTCTTGGATTGGGCGGAGTCGTCTCGGGGCACCGTTGCGCCCACTGCTGTGGTTTGGACGTGGGGCCTGGATTGCGTGTCTGACTGGTGTGTTTACCGCGTTCAAAAAAAGTGGTCAATCGATTTTCTCTTGATGACGTCAAAAAAGCGTCACGCTGTCGCTGGCCGCAATCTTGGCGGTGTCCCGGCGGCGGTGGTTCTGCTGCAGGTCGATCTCCAGCTCGGCGGTCCACAGAAGCTTCAAGCAAGCAAATGTTTTTGAGAGGGTGTTAGGCGGCACTGGTAGGTAGTGGCATGCATTCATTTCTTTTTTAAATATTGAAATGCATGATTATCTTCTTTTTTATTGTGCATTAATGTGTGCTTGTTAAAAATATTGAAACTTGTGGTAGATACATTATTCGCGCTTCCCCGCAAATGAGGGCTGAGTGAAGCCACGCGCTTGTGCTTGGGGTCCCTATCGTTATGTCGAAACTTGTTTTGTGGACCACTTTTTATGGAGCGTTTTGTTGACACGATCAGTTCATCGACACTCGGTACACGAATTGCGTGTTGTAGGGACATTTCGTCGCACGTGTATCACCGGGGTGCGCGTTAACCCACACCCCCACCTGCGTTCCCACCGCTTTGCAGAGACAGTCTGCGGCGGCTCATTACAAAACTGTTAACCCCCCTGACCGACCCATACATGCCGCTTCGCAGCTGAGTCGCATTGAAGTGCTTGGATGTTGAAAAACATGCTACTTGGGGCACCTCAGTTCAGCTGGCAGAACTTCCTGTGACCAAAATAACTTGCAGTTATAAGGAGCCCCTCAGTTCAGCTGGTGGAACTTCCTGTGGTCGAGATAACTTGCAGTTGACCAGCTTCTTGTGTATGCTTGATTGAGTAAAAATGACGAGTGTGTCTCTTAAGTTTTTTTCAGCTGAAAATTGGAAAAAGTATCGAAAACCGGATGTAAGATGGATCAATCGGTGCTTTCGGACCATACGGTGCCAAGAAAAAGCACCGCATCTCGTTTTACTTGGCCTCCATGGCGAAAGTTATGTGGCCCTACCTGACGCCCCTGTGGAAACTTGTGTACACTTGCAACACTTAACGAAGTTAGACGCCCACAAATCGGCCGAGACACGTAATTGGTGTTTTTCATGCTCAGGAGAGCGTGTGCGAGCACAACATCGCTTCGTCAACTGTGCATCGTTGCCGTGAGTGTTCGAGCTGGCCAAAGCGAAACTACGCTATGCTTGTCGGACATAGTTGATGGTGGGTGTGAAGGTGCCACATATGCTCGATCGTGCCTTGAAAAAGCGAGCAGTATGCTTTCGAAGAGGAGTAGAAATATTGTGACTGGGGCAAAACTGTTGCAGTGTGTATGATTGCACTGCCTGTTCTCCGCAAAAGAACAAGCAGCATGTGTTTTCGATGTCGAGTGGAGATATTGTGATTGTGACAACGTCGACCTACTGCTGCGATGAGTGGCAGTTAGTCGAACAACATTTTAGAGAACGCAAACTTTTCATCGTAAGACACTTTAGCGAATAATCGGTTGCTGCAAAGCGGCATTTACAGGTGGGCCAAGTGAGTTAACATATTTGTAATGAGCCGCTGCAAACTGCCATCGCGGAGCAGTGTGAGCGCAGCTTGGTGGTGGTGGGTAGACATGTGCCCCTGTTATTCACTAAAATGTTGATTCGCTCAAATAAGTATGTACGCTAAAATGTCATTCGCTCGTGATATGGACCCGAACTTGGGCGTTAAGGTAAGGAAGCTAGTTTCACGTCAGACTTGTTACGATCACGCGACTTCTGGGGAGATATCTCATTTGTTCTGACTGTTCTGTTTGGGCAGACACACACAAGCGCTGTTCCGTTTGACGGCATGTGCGAGTAATAACATTGATAGGATGGTATCCAGTGGTTTCATGCTATGTTTCACGTCTTGCTTTAATCGTCACTGGGAGACACTTTATTGCATGCTGAAAAGAGAAATCTGGGTCTTGAACTTCGAAATTGATGTGGAACCGAACCTCTTCCATGTGAAAAGGTCTGAAATCCTCCGAAGACACAAACTCTCCAAATTTTGTGGGGTTTTTTTGTTTTTAGTTTGTGGGTTTTTGTTGGAGTTTGTTCAGTATTCAAGCCACCTGCTTGCAAGCTCGCATGCACCTCAGAATTAACGTCAGTAAGGACTGCTGTAAGATTAAATAATAGTAAAAAATCATAAACACTTATTGCAATTTTAAATATTTTATGCGGTACGAAGTTGTCCCGTGTCAGTTGTATGAAAACCTGGGTTCAGGCCAGGGGCATAGCCAGGGAGGTAAGGGCTTCAGTCCCCCCCCCCCCCCCCCCTCAAAAACGCATTTGACCCCCCCTCCCTCTTCCCCATCCGCACCCCAAGTCTTAAACATCCCAGCCACCTCGGCCCACCCCACCCCACCCCGAAAAAGATTCCTGGCTACGCCACTGGTTCAGGTTAAAGTACAAAGCTAAATTTGGTTGAATATTAATTAGTATTTCAATCAATCCTTTATTTGCATAATATCTCAAGTGTGATTCGTTTGATTAAGCTTATTCGCTGTAGAAAAGAGTCGAATGTGCCATCCGCACTCGGCGGCCTCGAAGGCTGTGTTCCAATATTTACTCGATCCGACTCCGGAGTAAAGTTTTTGTACCGTGGCGTTCCAAAACTTACTCGAGCTTACTCGATGACGTCGGGACTCGGGTTCCAGAAGCGGATTGTTTACTCCGGAGTAATTACTCACGCTACCCTCCTCGATTGGGGGGTAACGTCGGATCAAATCGAGGAAATACGTCACGTGATCTGCTCGTCGTCTGCTTTGTGCGCAGCATGTGTGGTTATTGCGATTTGCTGTTATCAACACACGAATTGACTGCATTACATCCAGACCGTGCACCTTCCCCGGGAAGTTATACTTGTTATTATCAGAGTGAGAGCAGAAACAGGAGTTTCTCCGCATTCTTGTTCTGGGCGTTGGAGGGAATGCCATATTCTCACGTTCAAGGCTGAAAATGTTTGAACGCAGTAAATGATAAGGTAGTATTTTTGTTTCCTCCAGAGTGTGTGTAATGAGAGGATAACGCTTGTAAAGCTGTGAAGACTTCGATGATTTTATTGTAATCATATTTGCGTCAAAGCAAACGTCAGTTTCATGTCATTTTTGAGAAAGCACCCTCGTGCTGTACCACTACACCGTGTGGAATCAATTTCTGCAAAATATAATCGATGCAAATTACAATGCGTGAAATATATGAATTTAGGGCGATCGCGCTGATTAATAAACACATTTTTTTTGATATCTAACTGTAAGGAGTAAGTAATTTTTATCTCAATATACAGCTCAAAAGGAAGATGAGTAAAAGGAGCTGGTGGATCGACCGAAAAAAAAAAAATACGTCGTCATTAATATTATTGTCTCTTCGAGTGCTTTCTTTACGATCAAAAGGATCGTCTGCTGTTTTCTGCCACAGCTGCTGTTTTCTTTTTGCCGTAGCCCAAGACGAAGCCAATCCGCGTAGTATCCAGGTTATTATCCCGACCGTTCCAAAATCGAGTCGCGGATCTTTTGCGCGGATCGTTTACTCGCGATGTCACGTGGGCTGTGTTCCAAATCTTGCTCAAATGAACCTGAGTTACTCCGGCGGGTTGTGTCACGTGACAACACAGATTGAAGTGGATTAAAGCACTGATTGAAGAACGCTGGACGCGGGTAGGTTTTGGAACGCCAAGGTACAAAACTCTTACCCTGGAGTAAAATCGAGTAAATTTTGGAACACGGCCGTGGTATTAATTACCCTCTGACGTAGGAGGCAGGTTTACTCGGGTAAAATTTGGAACATAGCCGGAGTCTCGGCTCCTTGCATACGTCACCAGTCGACGCTCAAAACATACCAACCTAAAACCCGATTTAATTGCGGAACACATGAAACAGCGGTAATGTTGCCATTTAAAAGCACGCAAATAATACCCGAAACGGAAGTGTTCTCGGCTTCTGTCGTGGCGGCCGGAAGTGGCCCGGATACCATGTAGTTTATTTCTGTTTTCTTTTTTGTAGTTTCGGTTCTGCGGGAACGGAAACTTATTGTTTCACTACTGCGCGCACGAACCGTTCCCTTTCGTTCAGGGTACAGCAAAATATTGGGTAGTCTTTGCAGTTGAAGCTAAAGTTGGTTTACAGTGGGATAACGTTCCCATGGATAAATGCAGCGATGACCTCGTCAAGCTGGCCACGACAGATGCCTCTGCCTGTGTCCACCTGCACGGTACGGTTTGTTTTCTGATTTTCGGCACCGCTCAGAAAAGATTAACCTGTTTCTGCAAAAACAGGGGCGACGCTGCTCTCGTGGACCTATAAAGGGAAGGAACATATTTTTCTGAGGTATGTATTTGGTGTGCCGCCTGTGTTTGTTGTCGTGCTGCAATCTTGGCACACTTTCAGCGAGCAAGCGGTGTTTGATAACAAGAAGGCGATTCGTGGCGGTATACCTTTCGTTTTCCGTAAGTTTATCATCTTCGTTTCTCGTCAGTACTTTTGCATGCACTCCCCAAAGGGAGGCACTCATTTGATCGAATGACGTTTTAGTGAACGCCGATATTTCACCGAATGACACTTTAGCAAATAGTCGGCCGCCGCGAAGCGGCGTTTACGGGTGGGCCAAGTGGGTTAACATTTTTGCAATGAGCTGCCGCAGGCTGCCGCCGTGAAGCGCGAAGTGGCGTAAGCGTACGGGGGGTTTGGTTAACACGCGCCCTGTTGTTCCTTAAAACGTCGCTGTTCACTATAACGTTATGTGATATGGACCATACTGATACACTATTCGTTAAAACGTCAGTGTTCACTAAAACGTCATGTGATATGGATCATATACTGATACACTATTCGTTAAAACGTCGCTGTTCACTATAACGTCACGTGTTTTTCCTGCTCCAGTGTGTGTTGCTTTTCTCGTATTTTGCCAGAAAATGTATATGCCCCCGTTCCTAGCTATGTTAACCCCATGAGGTACTTATAGTATTTTGAAATAAATATGGAAATTAGGAATGGCACTCACTTGGTCGAACAACGTTTTAGCGAACAAGTTTTTCATCGAAAGACACTTTAGCGAATGGTCGGCCTCTGTGAAGTGGCGTTTACGGGCAGGCCAGGTGGATCAACAATTTTGTAATGAGCTGCCACAGACTGTCGCTGTCGAGCGGCGTGAACGCGGCGGAGGCGGGGGCGGGGGGTTTAATGGGGGTTCACGCGCGTCCCAGTAATTCGCTAAAACATGTTTGCTCAAAAGACTGCTCTTCGCTGAAACTTGATTCACTCGTGTGATATAGACCCAGATTGTTTCAGGCATGTAGCTTCCAGGCAGTAAACAATTCTTGGGCACCACAGTCTGCAGCTATTCTCTGTTGTCCCTATGTTTTTGACAGCGCGGCGGGAGCTACGCGCTCGCCAGGCCAATCGACCGCCTCCTTTTCGTCGTCTGACCCCGGCCTGTTGTGCGTTTATTGGCAGGAGCCCATTCACATTATTATAATGCAGACGTATGACTGGCCCAACAAGGACGTTGCTTCTAATGCACTGTCAGTGTAGGAGTGATTGGAGTGTTACTGGTGTGACGTGTAGCATAAAAGGGTTACTATTTAGCTACGGCTATCACCGAACATGAGCGCTGCGCGTCACTTTTGGGCAGGCTTCTCAGTTGATTGAGATTGGGTCCAATCATTGTGCTGTGCCCTCAAGCTCGTGCCTCGGAATTACCAGAGTTCCTCGCCATGTAGCATTGCCTACCAAACCGAACGGCCATTTAATATGCTTACTTAGTTTACTGTATATTAGGTATCTACTAGGCATCCTATTTGAGTTCATTGTTCACTGCTTGTGCTTAGTACAAGCTCACTCTTATCATCTGCTGAGGAAGTTCATATTGGTGAAGTGGAATAAATGCTTTGCGGAACAGCCGTGAAAACTCGCTGTCGGCCTGTGCTCGGCTGCCACGAACTTGGCTATGGCCGCCTTTTTATTTTAGACAAAACCCCGAGACTGGGGGGAAAAGAAGGACAACACAACACAAAGTCTCAAACACAGCTTAAATTTATTGGACAGAATATTGTGGTTTTATAGGGTACAAGTGCCCTGAAAAACAAAAGGAAGGAAAAAGGGGGGAACGGGAGGTTGAACCTCTCCTTCCCAAACACACACGAGAGGAATTGGGAACATTGATTAATAGCACACTGGTACTGTTCTAATGCAAAGAAAAAGGGGGAGGGGAAAGATCTCTTATCCCATCTCAATGAGGTCCTGATACACATCACAAAAGAAAAGGCTGCGGGATGGTGAACCATCAGAGGAAAGATTGAACCCGGACAAAAACGAACAACCTCTGACATTCGTCACACCCGAAACGAAGGGGGCAGGGGTGAAACTTAAACCCAAACCAAACAACATCCTACTATCTTCAGTTCAATCAATCAATTGATTTCAATTGATGGGTTTGTCTCTTAACTCATATATTTAATAGGTTGTAAGGAAATGTCCATTTAACAAATAGTTTCCTAAGATCAACATTCTGAAATGCTGCTAATGAATGTGGGCTGATAGTTGAAGAAAATCCCTACTCGGCCTATGATGGACCGTCAAAGCATAGGGTACTTAATTTCTTCACAGAAACCGACGGAGACAATATCGCTTCTTTTTTCCCATTCCATGCGTCATTACACGGAGGTTTCCCAGTCGGCAATTTTCACAAAACGGTGCTGTTCTCGAAAACCAAGCATTGAGCACTAAACTTGCGAGTTCATCTGTCCTCTGCAATTCAGCACATTGTTAGTCAGGTCGTCGACTTGCTTTTGCACTGTGCCTCCAAGCATTAGTCAATCTTTTCATTATTTTATGGAAACTAGTATCAGCGGGCAGCCGCAGACACCCGTAATGCTCCCCCTCTTTTTAACATCCCCACACATCTAGTGGGTACAGTAATATCTTGTCATCAGAGGCGAGTGATTATTTCTACGACTAAATTTATAGTCGCAACTTTTGTTAATAAGCACAATTTTTTGCACACTTACCTGGCAACTCAGCAAACTTTGGGCCATGGAGCTTGGGTCCTCAGCACGGATTTGCGAGGACATCACGATGGACCTTGAAGGAGGCGCCACACACTGTAAGAAATTTGTTCTTGCTTTCTCGGCGCCGGTACAGTGCCTGGATTGCATCCCCAACCAGTGCATCTATCGCACCTTTATCTCCTCTCTTTGGTTTTGTACTTGGAGAAGTCCAAACGCATAATCATGCAGATCACTACGAACTGTTGTGGAATGATAACGAACGATACCCGGACTGTTGACGAAAACTCCAGCAGCCACAAGTTGGGACACCAGAATGACAGCAATAGCTATGTTCGCTTGCCTTCTTTGCTGGCACTTGTGCGTCAAACTGTTTTCTTCACAGCAATTGTAGCATTGCTGTGCTGCTTCTGCAGTATATTTAGTCGTCAGTTTGGGGTCCCTGCGTTGCATGTATAGGATTCGAAACACAAAAATGAAGTATTGCAGCTTTGTATTTCCAGAGTTATTGGAACCATCTGCCCTTTTGCCTCGATCTCTCTTAGTTCCTAAATGTCAACAGTAATGTTTATGCTATTGTTGCATGTTACACCGTTCCCTTGTGTGAATATACCATGAATTTTTGTATTTGACTACCGTTGGGGTTCTGTGAGACTACTAGTGGTCCTCTCTGTCCAGTTGGCAAACGGAGACACCACAGCCGTCTTTATCCTGTCGGATGTCGAGCAGACCAGGGCTATCTGGGATTTCAGGTTTGTGCTGCTCTCGGAGATTTTGATGCAGGTTTTTTGTATATTGCTGGGCGACTCGACTGGGGAGCCCTAGTAGCCTAAAGGGAATGTTTGAGGTGCGAAAGCTTGCCCTTGTTCATACTTTCTACTTATATGCGTGACATATATTGAGGTCGCTGCTCTTTCAAAGGCAGCTTATTAGAACCACCAGAGTGGCATTGATGCTAATAGACTTGACTTGTTCAGGCCGCTGAAAAGGTCTCTAAGCGAAACATTGTCTTCTACTCTGAAACTTCTACTGTTTTTTTATTCTTTAAGTTCATTGTATCAACCTTGTCTACCTTTGTGATTTGTTAGTTAATTGAACCTTATGATTCACAATGCTGTTTCTAGTAAAAATTGGGATTTATTTTGATAGAGTCTTGGTCTGACCGGTAGGGAATGAACTTATTACGTGACGTTTTCACCCTTCTACAGGTTCCAGCTGATTTATCGGGTGACCTTGAGGAGCAACCAACTTGTCCTTGAGGTTGAGGTGGTGAACACAGGTACAGTGAAAGACAAATTTAGTGGCTTCACAGCAAGAAGAATAATGTTTTGTTATTCTTTTTTGTCAGAAATTGAAGCTACAAAATATTTGGATGGAGAAGAGATGGCTAGGCCTACTTTTCAAAATATCATAATATCCCTTCACCCCCCAAAGTTAACCCACCCCTATCAACATACTATTTTTTCAAAGTCACCAAAAGATAGCCGCAGCCCACTTCTAGTAATTGCAGGGCCCCGGCCAATGGTGAGCTCGGCAGAAGATGGTGTTATTTAGCCACGGCGGGAGATGAGCAAACATTGCTGACTGGGAAGACAGTAGTTTTTAGTTCAGGTTAGAACAGTAGCTTTTAGTCCCTGCAATTTCAAATTTCGCATGTCACAATATTTTTAAAACATTTCACCTCTTTTCACTTGCACATTGAAAGTCAGCACACTCTTTATTTTCCCCCGATTTGCTTTTGATTTTAGGGGGGCTATTTCTCGGGATATTAAGGTAATTGTGATGGCAGGTGACGTCACAATTTGAAGAACTGCACACATGAACATGGCTCTTATTTGTGCCTTTTCAATTCGCCGGGAGGTCTTGAAATGCGAATTTGACTAATTTCGCAACCATATTCGGTTGCTATTTTTTTGTACATAAAATATAAAGATTTAAGGATAATAAAACACTAAAACCTGAAATCACAATTTTTGCCATATTTCTAAGTTTTTCGGCTTGCCTCTTCCTTTAAGCCATTTTAATCCATAAGCTATACATACAAGGTGCACAATCGACCACCAAAATGCTTCAGAAGGTAAAAGCTCTATTGAACAGATGGGTGGAGACTAAACATGCGGACTGCAACAAATTTTATCAACTGTACTACCCAAGTTAAGTAGAATACCTAATTATTTTTGTATGGAATTTATGCAAAATGACAAGTTTGCATCATGGAGTCACCCGTGCAGAGCAAACAATGGTGCATTGCAGTCGGCCCACATTAAAGGCCGATCTACAAAATCCTCCTGCCGGGAAGAAATCTGGTTTTCCAGTTTCCTTCTTTCCATCCCTTCTCTTGCTCCTTTCTCCTTTCCCCACAGGCGTTTGCCGGCCTTAAGCATTTTTTTTAGCAAAATTGCGAGTTTGCGAAAAGGTTCCCGATAAATAGCTTTTTTGGTGCACATTAATCAGCAATGACGTGCCCCCATCGGTTCAAACAGCAGGATGCATCTTGACATGAACTTCAGCAGCTTACCAAGGTTAGAAAGAAAACAACCGTCGATAGTCAATTAACAAAAGACTGCAGGAATTAAGGTTGTGAGTGTAAACTGAATCAATTTAAAGCTTTCTTTTTATTTTTTACATTGAGAAACTTGGAGTGATATTTGCATACTTCTCTTTTTCAGATGAAAAGGAGTTTGAGTTCACTCTGCTTCTGCATACCTACCTGAAGACAGACGACATCCAGCTTTGCTCCATCTCGAACCTAAAAGGCTGCTCTTACATCGATAAGGTAAGTCCCATTTTCTTTGTTTTCTTTTCCTTTTGTCGGAAAAATTTATCCTTTCCTGCGCTGTCATCGCAAAGACAGTGATGCTGCACAGAGGAGCATGGTACGCATTTTATCCCTCGGCTACGCGAATATCTTTAAGCGTCTTTGAAAGAGAGACCTGTTGAGACCAGCTCTCTAGCGGGAGGGAAACACGAAGTTATGTCTCTTGCAATTGCAGAGCCCAGCCTCAGCCCTGCCATTTCGCACAACCCCCAACACATGTGCTTGTTCTTTTCTCCCTTGCCTCCTGCACACTCTCCCATGCATATGTGCGAGCCTATTCTCTGCCTGGTGGTGAGATTTCCGACTCGCTTTTCTCTCGTGCGTTGTTGACGCAGTTGGTTTTCAGCTTTGAATTTACAACCGGAGAGATCCCGGTTCAAAACCAAACACTCGCACACCTTCTCTGGTGCTTTTCTTATATACCGGTGAATTTTCGTGCAGCACTTTTTCGTTACGGGATTTTGTGTCATAGGGAACTCTTAGGACCCCTTAAAATGACGCAAGCTGTGTTCAAAATTGTTTGGTTTATTTTTTCTTCCAAACACATCATAAAATGGGGGAGTCATTTCTTACCTGTTACCTTTGAGTAGTTTGTTAGTACTTGTACCGTATATAACGAGTTGTAAGGTATGCTATGTGCATGTATCTATTTATTTAGTTATTTATGTGTTTTGTTATCGTCGGGGCCAGATGCATCACAGAGTGGAACGGGCTACATACCGTAGAATACCGCGCTACCACCCATTCCTCACTAAGCGCCCATAACCAAATTTCTAAGATCTGAGAAAACAGGCACAGTATATTTATATGTAAAATTGATGACCGGACAAGCGCCCATCCCACATTTTTTCACAATTATCTCTAAATTTTGAGTGGGCGCTTGCCCGGTATTTTACGGTAAGTAAAACAAGGTAAAAAAAAAAGTATAGCGAAAAAAAAAAAATTTTACTGTTTTTTAGATTGTAGTTAGGGTTTTTCACAAAAAAAGGCTAGTAGTGGCAGTGTGAAAATGTTCATTATTGGCAATTTCAGCGGTGGCTGGGGGTAGGTGATTCCCCATTGATGAAATGTTGGGAATCAAAGATACATAAAAATGATTTATGTGACAGAAAGGCATGCCAACTTTATGACGGTGATCAATGTGTGCTGAAAAGTAAGAAGGTGTTCCTTAAAGGGCCCATGAAACGATTTTTGGGTTGGGATAAATCATTTTAGATTGGGATTTTACTAATAGCACATCGTTCAGTGAACCAAAAGAAAAAAAGTAGAAAGTCAAAAGCGTGACTTTCAGTGCGAAAATTTGAAAACAGAGCGGACTATTTCGTACCTCCTCCCCTTCGCAACCTCTCTGCCTTTTCACTGTGATACATCCGCGGTCCCAAAAGCGCGTCGTCGGGTCCAAACTGACGTCACACGCAACCGGACCTCACTTATTCCCTTCACCCCTAAGCTGACATTGTGGTGGAAGCTACGCGCTTGCCGGACCAATCAGCCGCCTCCCTTTCATCACCTGACTTCATTCTCTGCAGCCACATTTGCCACGCTCACGTGGCAAGTGTGGCTGGCCCAACGAGTACGTAGCTTCAACAGCACTGTCAGCTTCGGAATGAACGGGGTGCGGAAAGCAACTTTTGTCTGAATTTTGAGTGACGGGCTAATCTTCTAGGGGGAGAATGGATGTGTCCGGATTACACAAACGAGGGTGCGAGCAAGAGGGGGCTCCCCCTTTTCGTCTTCTTTAACTGTTTGGTGGAATGCGCGATTTATGAGTTGAGGAGGAAAGCTGAACTGGAAAAAGTTGGAAAAGCGTTTCATGACCCCTTTAATAGCCTTTTGTTAAGAATCGAATTGTTGTGATATACCCTATGAAACAAGCACAGAGGTAATATTTTCCTACATTATGATCCTCTAGTTTCACAGTGCAATTTTTCCTCCAAGTATAGGGCCTTGTGAAAGACCTAGACGAGTCGTAGCCTTTTTGTATGAATGGCCTGAATCCACCTGGAAGCGTCCTGTTGTGTCATCTCAGCCAGAGCCGCCTAGGAACTATCCTAGAAGTCACTGCTTCAAAGCTGTAGTTAAATTTTTGACAGTGTCTCAGAATTGTCATGGCCAGTCACGACTTGGGATGTCTGTCATCTTTGCACGGATGACCTTTAAAAAAAAAAGCAAATGTAGCAGTCATGTCAGCAACAACTGTTAAGAGTTTTCAAGAGAGGAGTGACATCGCTTGTGAACATTATGACAGTCACTCGTTTATGTTGAATTTCGTGTGGTATCTTTAGGAACAAGAAATAGACGTATCTCCGTGGTATGCGGTATTAAACCTCCATGCCAAGGCTGTGATTTGGAAAAGAATGACTCAATTCGCCCTTTTTTTCTCAGTTTGGAAGTAAAATTCTATTGTAGTGCTTCATTTGTTGGCATTGGAGTAAAATGTCCTTACTAATGCGAAATCATTAACTATCCCATGTTTTTGGATCCAGCGTTCATGTTCGTCTTGGTCGGTTTCATGTACTTTTTTCTTTTTTCTTGCTGCATGAAGTCGGGACGCACGAGAAGAGCACGTAGAAAAATAATTGTCCGTTGGTCGTCACGACCAATTAACTGAGCGACGCTGTCAGCCATGTTGATTTGATCATGAAAAAGTGTGTAAGGCAGCTCGAGAGCTGTCGTAGGATTCCATCATAACCTGCGCAGAAGTTACGATAATCCACCTTTTGGCGAATATGTGCTGCCACCTAGACACGTGACTGGGTTTGAGACTAAGTGACTAGAAAACAACGCACACGCAAGGCCTCTTCCACCCGTTCGACACCCAAAACATTGGCGAACATCCTGTTCGCCAATGAGCCGTTGTGACCTAGATATTGCTTCCCCAAACTCGCCTTTGTCCCCATCGTGGGTTATCCTCTGCATTGAAGTCGACACAAAAAAACCATCTTCCCTCTCTGCTCGACCAGAATGAAGAGAGAGGGGGTACTGGAACTATTTACTCTCGAACCGATGTTTCTACAAAAGGTCCATTTCATTTCGTGAATACGAATTTGTTCTTACGTTTTGTCGTACACGCATTTTTGGCATAAGATCTTTTCGTGAATCTACCCTTCGGTGATTTGGGATTAAATGTTTTATTCCCTTTGCTTGCTGTCACCACAAAAGAAATTAATGACCGAACTTATATTTCAGGTAGATGGAAATAAAGAAAAGACTGAAACTGCCGAATTGGTCTGCATCAAGAAAGCTACTGACAGGTGACAGCAAAGATGTTTGTTTTTTGTGTGCTCACATGGCAGACATGGGAATTCTGCATTTTCGTGATGCATGTGCAACAACTCTGGAAGTCTCTTGCATGGTTCTGGCAATGACTCCTGACGTTTAGACCAATGTTAGGATTCACCAATGGTCGCTTGATTGTGGTGTCCGATGTGTACAATGGTAGTAATAATAATGGTAGTCTTCTTTGCATTGCCTAACGGCGAGACCAAGGAAAAAAGCCACCTACTTAGGAATAGGCAGTTTGATGAGCTTTTGGCTCCTAATAACCATGGAAACCTTTCTACGTAATAAATAATGAAAAAAAGAAAATCTGTTATATTCTTGGGTACCGTCAGTGAAAGTGCATATGGCACGAGAATAACACCAGTTTCCTTTTGGTGTCGTCAATTGTTTTTTTACAGAACTGGAAAAGTAATTATCTAGGGAGACATTATTTCAAGTGTGTATTGTAGATTATTTCAAGCATGTATTGTAGATTATTTCAAGCATGTATTGTAGATTCTGCCAAATTCATGTCTGACTGAATAGCATTTGTTTGTTTTCTGAGCAACTTCCAGTAACTTGCATATTTATAGAACGGATGCCTGTACTTTTCTTCGTTGACTCGAATGATTTTTAATTGCAGAGTGTATAAGAAGACCGGTGAAAAGCACTCCTGCAAGCTGAACGGCTCCACTGTGAATATTATAAAAAAGAACTTTCCAGACACCGGTAATTACCTATTTATGGTGGCCAAGGGTGCGCTGAAAACAATTAATGGCTCCCCATGTATTGATCCAAAGTATGGGGTAAATACTATATTAGGTTGTCGCACTGTCAAGAATTCCAAACTGCCCAGTTATGGGGACCATGGAATTGTTTTACAGCTCTTTTCAAAATGGTGACCTTCAATTAATCTTGAATGTTCATAGAACCCGCAACAGGTACCCAAGCACAGGCACGTAGCCAGGAGGGGGGGGCGGTCCCCCCCCCCCCCTCCCCTTCCCCGCCCCCCGAAATCTTCCATTTTGCTGGGACCTCCTTTCCTCCCCTCCCCCTCGTACAGCATTTTGCGCGGGCCCCTCCCGAAACGAAATCCTGGCTACGTGCCTGCCCAAGCATTAAAGATAATGCAGGGAATGGCGTTGCACGTGCCGGCATCTGCAGCAGTAACTGTTCTAAAGCAAAAGCCTGAAACAAATGACATCTTGCATCTGAATAAGAGGCTGAAGTTCAGCTAGTTGGTACATAATTTAGGTAAATGGTCAGCTAGAACGAGAGGAACAAACACAGACAGGGAGAAACAGAGACATACACACCGCTGACTATCAACTAAGACTTTATATTTCTTCTTTATCACTGTGACCCACAGATTTGTTCCTCTCGTTCTAGCTGACCATTTACCTAAATCTTGCATCTGTTTTGAATTTTTTTATACGGGTAAGGCGTGCGCGTGCAGCGATGCGAGCGTCGAGTTTTTAGTCAATGCACACGAAAAATCCACGTAACTTTAGCCATAAACAGCTTCGCTGTAAAAGAAAACTGATTTGACTATTATAAAAGGGTAGTCACTCAGCTTGAAGCAATGCATCACAGGAAAAGAAATCGCCTTCAACAACTATCGGGCAGGTGTTGTGTGTGGTTAGCTACGCCATAAATTGGAAAACGAGCGACGAATGGGGATAGCATGTGTTAATAAACATTTATTTCTTCCTGAAATATCACACGTGGCCAGAACAATAAAAAGAAATATAAATATATATATATCAGCCGGCTGTTGTGCCCAGTGGCGTCAATGTACACGAAATGCTCGGGATTCTGAACGCGTGCACTACCCTCGTGGCTTTTATGCACCTTTTACATTAATAATTCCCAAATGTATCATATATGCCATTGAGACGAAAGGATGTTGCCCAAGTTTTCATTGCACATGCATTTGAATGCATTTGCAGTGTACACGCTATATTATTGGCACTTGAAAAGAAAGATAATTGTTTTTTGTGTTTTCAATTTGTTTCTGCATACAGTATGTTTGTTTATCTGCAGTTGTCTGGAATCCCTGGGACCAGAATGCCAAGGACATGGCAGACTTTGGGGACGAAGAATATCTGAAGATGATCTGCGTCGAGGCAGGTGCCGTGTCCGAGCCAATCATCCTAAAGTCCAAGGGTGTTTTCAAGGCGTCTTGCACCTTGGAAGTCGCTGCCTGAACAGTTATAGCTGGGCACACTCTTTTCTATTGCATATTTTCTAAATGGTGAGGGATTATACTAGTAAAATGTATTTCTACACATGTATTATACAGGTTGTTTCACGTACGACAGTGTTATTTGTAACAGCTGGCACATAGAGGTTGAAACGTATGCACTCATAGATTGTTTTGTCCGGGAATTGCCTTACTCGAAATGAAATTGGTCAGTCTTGCCTGGGACAGTCCCAAGAAAAAGCTTTCCTGAGGTTGGGTGGGGATGCTCTATCATTCTGCAGCCTTAAAAGTGCTCTTTCTTGAGTCTGTCTAAAAGACTGATTGATTTTAATGTGAGCAAGCCATTCCAGGGATTATGTGTTAGCGGTATTTATCGAAAGCAAGGAAAAAAGAGTTTCAGAGTCTTGAAAAAGAATGAAAACTCGAAAAAAGAAATTGATTGTGTGAAACTATTTTTTTATTCTTTATGATATAATAAACCAACTAGTGAAACTTTTGCTGTAGCTGGATTCCTAATTAACACGAGATTAGCGACAAAGTAATTACTGCGTCCTGAAAACGTCCAAAAACTTGCAAATTTGAGTAACTCTACAGTGTGTTTCTTAGCGTTATGTGGGTGTAAAAAAAGTGTGTAAATCAATAAGCAGAGTACATTGAAATAATCATTACAAGCTAAGGGTGCTACCTATGCGGAGGGCAAGTTCGTCTGCTCCTTGCGCAGGGGGTAGCAGTGACGTCAGAATGCCGAGCCCTGATTGGCTGATCGCGCCCCTCTATCTGAGCGTCGTCTGCTCCTTTGCAACGTCGTCTGCTCGCAACGTCGTCTGCGTCTGTCTTACGTTTCCTGCGAGATTCACGAAACGATCTTACGCCAAAAATGTGCGTAAGACAAAACTTAAGAACGAATTCGTATTCACGAAACGAAATTTTCGTAAGTTTTGCGCAGGTTACGGCGAAATCCTACGACAGCTCCGAAGCTGTCTCACGCACTTCTTACGATCAACTCAGCATGGCCGACAGCGTCGCGGACGCGACGACCCACGGACGTTTATTTTTCTACGTGAGCTTCTCACGCGTCCTGACTTCAAGCAGCAAGAAAAAAGTAAAAATTACTTGAAACAGAGCACGACGAACAAGAACGCTGGATCCACCGACACCGGGGAAAAGCTCCAACGGCCACGATTCCACCGAACGCGACCAAACGAGCTGGGCAGTTAGGCCTAGCAGGCACTCCGCGACTCGGCGACCGTCTGACGTGCTGAATGGTATATGCCCGCGCGACCCTTGTGAACCCTTCCCGTGTTATACTTTGATCGCTGACCTCAATTTTAGATTAAGCGGTCAATTTCTTCCTCTTGTTATTTCCTTGTTTACCGAGGCAACGGTGACTCTCGCCGGTGAAAAAGCGGTGAATCTCCGACAGACGCAGGAAAGGTAAAGCAGCCATCGCTTTGACTAGCAGACGTAAAGCAGACGACGTTAACTGCGCCAACCCGCCGGCGCCGTTAAAGAGTGAGGGGTCTCGCCGCACACGAATGGAGGGAAAAAGTATTTGGGAGGGAACTTGCAGTCACTAACACGCTCACTCTCGGTTCTAAGCAAACAAACCTCGGCGCCCCGGGACACCTCGCCAGTGAGTCCTTTGACTTCCCTCCTTGATGCGCGTCTGCTAGTTGTTAGACGAAAACAACGTACCGCTAGAGTTATTTCGTCTGCCCTCCCTTAAAGGCGAAGTCGAGTTCGCTCCGAAAGTCGCAGGAAAGGTAAGACAGAACGCAGACGACGTTGCGAGCAGACGACGTTGCAAAGGAGCAGACGACGCTCAATAGGGGGTCGCGATCAGCCAATCAGGACTTGGCGTTCTGACGTCACCACTACTTCCTTTCTCATGCGCAGAAGACGAAAATGAGCCCACTTGCGAGGCGTATAGGTTGTAATGTGCATAAGGCCTTCTGTGGGCTTTAAAGGGGCACTAGGCACTCAAATCTATGGGCTCCAAGCTTCCTAAAAAATCAAACATTACATTTATGCATAGCTGATATCTTTTTCTATAAAATCGGTATCATATGACAAGATTCAGACCAGATGGCACCATCGGACGAGGCGCCGCTTGCGGAGCAATGGTGCTCCCAGTGCGGCCATGCAGAACCAAGGAGGTTTTCTGAACTATTCAGGAGATGGGGGGTGACGGCAATATTGCATTACCTCCCACGCATTGTTTACATTAAATTTCTGAACTTCCTGGGGGGCGGTCGCCCCACCTGCCCCCTCTGTTCCGACGCCAGTGCGGCCATGTTGGATCCAAGGCTTAACTGCGGGAAGCGACCGTCGCTCCTGCAGGAGATCCGGATGTTGCGGTGTGCGGAGCAGAGATCTGCGGAGCGCGAATTCGTCTGCTTGCATAAGGGTTGCGATGATGTCAGCAGGCCGAGCGCTTATTGGCTGATTGAAAAAAAATAGTGGGTAAACCTCGAGGCATCTACAGGGTGATTCAAGGAGAGGCCAGGCTCTTTAAATCGACCGCAAAATTCGGTTATCGCGCTACGACTTTGTGCAGCGTTGCCCACAGATGGTGCATGTTTGTTTTTTTTTGTAAAATTTGCAAAGAGCAAACTTACCTGAGGAAAAAGTAAAGAAAGAAAAAGGCTTAGCTGCTATGGAAACGCAGCGACGCCACCGGTCTTCAAACAACACGGCGCCGTTTCGCACGGGACACAAGAGATGGCGCAACGACCGCCGCCAACGAACGAGCATACGGCGCCGAGAGCCGGCGCCTTTAGCAGACGATATTTGGACTCAAAAGCGGCGCGCGTTCCGCAGGCGGTGACAGTCGCAGAAACAAAAACAGGCACGGTAACAACAAGGAACTGCAGTTCCTTGTCTGCTAAAGACGCCGGCTTTCGGCGTCGTATGCTCGTTCGTTGGCGGCAGTTGGCGTCGCGACCGCTTGCGCCATCTCTTGTCTCCCGTGCGAAACGGCGCCGTGTTGTTTGAAGACCGGTGGCTTCGCTGCGTTTCCATAGGAGCTAAGCCTTGTTCTTGTGGTGGCGTGGTTCTGACGTCACCATAACCCCTGCAGAAGAAGCAGACGAACTTGTGCTCCGCATAGTGCGGCGACACGCCGCTTGTGCGCCGTCGTCCCATTATTTCTTGGGGATTTTAGTTAATCCCTTCGGGGCAAGCTGTAGCTGCGCGTTCTTATCTGGTCTGACGTGCCCGGATGTGACGGTCGCGTATCACTCGGCGAGCGCCACAGACGCGAGCAAGGCGATCGTCCTCCTAGTCGTCTGCTTCCCAGACTTCGAATTTAGAACATCGCTCGCGTTATAAAACGCGCGTACCCAGTGGCTACACATAATGTTCAGTGGTCAAGGAACCTTCCCGTTCGGTCGATTTTGGTATAGGATGTATATTTCGCAAACGCAAAGCGAGAAACATGGTCCCGCCGAAACTCGGCGCCTGCAAGGTCGCTTTCCCGCATGAAGATTGCATCGAGCTCGTTGCACGTGACAGCTTCTCCTTGCCAAGACGGAGTTGGCGGTGAAACAAAAAGGAGCGCGATACTCTGGCTCTGCAAACAGAACCTATGCGGAGCACAAGTTCGTCTGCTTCTAGCACAGGGGTTGTGATGATATCAGAACGCCGAACTCTTATTGGCTGATTGAAAAAATAGGGGGTAGACCTCAAGGCATCTAGCATGGATGTTTACCCACTGTCCTTTCAATCAAAACCATTCAGAGCTCGGCGTCGTCCTGACGTTACCGCAACCCCTGCGCAATAAGCAGACGACTTGCTCTCCACAGTGCAGGAAACACTCTCACGAGACAACTAAGTCTAGCCCGTATACCATATAGTAAGACCCACAACATGTGAGTGGACTATAGTCCTCATTAGCAAGACCCACAACACCGCAAGGAAATTTTTGATGCATTACTACAGTACGCCAGGGTCACACATAGCCATGTGTATATTTAAGTTCCCTTTTACTCTTCCCTTTTTTAGTGCGCCGTCGGCGTGACCACGCGCGTTGCATTATGGGATGTCACAGACCTACACACCAGTTCAATTCCCCGGTAAATTTAGCGAAGAAACTGAATTGGTGTGTAGGTCTGTGGTGTCTGCCCGTCTGCTAAGCTAGCTACTCATTGCGACAGAAGCCCTTGCGCCCCGGAACTGGAAAAAACAAAAATTCTGGGAAAGCTGAGAAGCAAAATCTCGAGAGATGTTCGAGTCATTTAACATTCGAATCCAGGGGTAAGACAGATGCATAAGTGCCCCGTCAGTGCATCTAACAGACAGGGAATTTGAATTCTTACTTGAGAAGCCCGATTGGGTGCACAAACAGTGTGTTGCGCTTCAATAAACATTCAGTTTAAAGTAGCGCCTCGTGTTGTCTCACCTACTCTGTCCCTGTCTTGCGGCGCATTTGTCAAAATAAGTCTATAGCAAACGCACAAACAAGACGGGTGCCATGACGATGCACTTTTAAAGCCACCCCGTAGCACGTAGCTTGAGTACCGGTGGCCTGGTTCGTCCTGTAACTGCCATGTGACGCCGGTGGAGAGAAATCTAGCCGTAACACAGCGAGTCCGTGAACAGCATCCTTCTTTGGATACTTGTATATATATGGTGCCTCAAACGCGCCTCCAACTGGGGTGTGTGTGTGTGTGTGTGTGTGTGTGTGTGTGTGTGTGTGTGTGTGTGTGTGTGTGTGTGTGTGTGTGTGTGTGTGTGTGTGTGTGTGTGTGTGTGTGTGTGTGTGTGTGTGTGTGTGTGTGTGTGTGTGTGTGTGTGTGTGTGTGTGTGTGTGTGTGTGTGTGTGTGTGTGTGTGTGTTTTAAGGTGTCATTTTATTTTATTCGAGGTCGTCATAGAATTGTCATTCGGTCGACGGCCGCGATCCTGGCGGTGTCACAGCCAGGCTGATGGATGCGGCAGCCGTCAGTTCTGCTGCTGATCGCTTTCTAGCTTATACATTCCACGAAAACTGCGCCAGACAGGTGCTGGGCTCCCCAACCACTGCGACATTTTCCTCCCTTCAACGTAGCAACGGCGCATTTTCTTCCCTTTTACTGACGCGCCCCCGAGCGGACACAAGAAAAGGGAGGAACGATACGTGTTTCTCCTTCTCCAGGCAGACGGGAGAAAGCTTTCGCCACTTTCGCCCTCCCGACTCACCTTCTTTCGGTTTCGTTTTTCGAGTACGTCGCACACGTTGTTTAATAAATGTTGTTGAGTTGATTTGGCTTCAGCGGCAGCGAAGGCCGCCCTGTAATTCCGTCTCCCAATCCAAACCTGGAGAGCATTTCGGTTGCATTGACGCTTTTGCCACTAATTTAATCAAACGAGCAAACGAAGCCGCTGGAAACAGCGAAGTTCCAGTGCAGTGCCAGCAGTGCTACGTACACTGGGATAAGATGGTCATCTCCGGATCGCTGAACTCATGCTGAACCATGCTACCACGCGGAACGATGTGTCAACAGATGCGCCGACGTTGA